TTAGAGGCAACCGAAATAAGGCTGATCCCACGATGATTTGCACATGAAGTGCGAGCGCCTTACTTGAAAATCGGGCTAATGACTGATTCTCCCCAAGAGGAAGGCACTTTCTCTTCATACCAAATTTTTGCGAACAGCGCGGTCAGCTGGTTAATGATCGCCACACCGCCGTACTTGAACAGTTCCGGAGGAAGTCCGTCTTAGCCGGCAGCCTTGAAGCGCTTCAAGCGTCGAATCTCAAGGCCGACTTCCGCTTCGCTGGGTGGATTCAGAAAGACGAGCCAGGGTGGACAACAAGGTGTACTGCATGTACTGATGGACGGTGGAGGCCAGTTGAACTGCGAGTGAAAGTGCTCGGCCCAACGGTCCATACGCCTCTGTTGGTTGGTGATCGGAGACTCATCCACCTCACAAATGACTTCACTGACACCAGGTTTCCTGAGGCCAGTGGACCGAGTGAGTTGGAAAAGCCTGCGAGTGTTGCCAGAGAGGGCAGCAGTCTCCATCTCTAAAGCACGTTCACGATATCCGCTAAACTTCAATCAGATGGAATAACTTCAGTGGTCCAGATCTCCTGGAGGAGAAAAGTTAATTTATGAACAAGTGATGGACCTCCATCTTTGAAAAGAGTCAGGGGGTTCATCTGGGCTAGGGTCTTTGTAACGCTTTAAGAAGCGAAGCTCACGGGCAACCTCAGATGGTGATGAAACGTCTACACACCAGAGAGCGCTCTAGATTCCAGAATGGGAACTCATTGGGGCTGATGCTCAGAATGCTCGGCCCATCGCTTGAGTTGGCGTTTTTGACAGTGGATTGGCTCTCCGTTGATTTCGCATAAAACTTCGTTTACAATCGACCTTCTGCCGCCAGTAGATCAGATCAGAAGGAAAAGCTTACGGAAATTCCCCGAGGTGACCGCTTGCTCCATCTCAATGACCCGCTACTTCCACCGTCGCTCTTAATTCATGTCATTGTCGCATTTATGGTCTTAATTTCGTCGGAATCAACTTTTTATGGCACTGATTTATCTGTGGGCTAAGGACGATTACGACAGGGAAGCGAAAACCACAAGGACATTCTCTTGCCGATACTGCCTTATCCTTACACGATAGCCCGCTGTTTGCAACTTTTCTGTTGGTGAGATGCATCCACTTTGCTCCTGAATGTTGGATACGTGCACTTGACTTTCATAGGAAGTCTCTTGTTCCCAAACAAGACTGAACCTTAACGTGGTACGACGGTTTGCGTACCTTATAAGGCCACGCTGTCCCGTTTCCATGGCGACATTCAACGTTCGGACTCTAAGACAAACAGGTCAACAAGCTGCACTCGCACGCACCTTGGACCCACTGGGTATTGATGTGTGTTGTGTGTCCGAAACTAGGATCGATGACACTAATGGGGTTATTGCATTAACCGCCCTGCTTGTCTTCTCACTATTAGTTGCACGCATTCGGAGACGCCGATGTAGCACTCACAGGTCAGGCTGAGGTAGGCATGATTTTAAGCTCCAACGTTGTGCCATCGTTGGTTGATTGGATTCCGGTGAACAGCTGTTTATGTGCAGTCCGTTTGACGACATCAGCTAAGGTTGATTCACGAAGTAGTACAAAACGCTGTTTGTTTGCGATTTCCGCTTAAGATCTCACTGACTGCAGCTCTAATACTGTCAAGGACACATTCTATCACGAATTGCACACGCTCCTACACAGTGCTACTAGTTCAGATATTATGGTACTTACAAGCGGTATAGACGCACAAGTAGGGCGTGTGAGCTTTTCGGAAGCTCAGCTGAGTGGTAATTATGGGCTTTACACCGAACGGCTGACAACGGCGAGCGTCTGCTACAACTGTGTGCGGAACACCAGTCGTTTCTTAGTAGCACTGCTTTTAGACACAGTGGGCGCCGAAGTGTCACTTGGCGTCCTCCTGTAGCTGGCCAGCTATGGACCCAAATTGATTACATTGTCATAAGATACAGGTGTCGTGTTTCCATCTTGGATTGTCGCTCTTTCTGGAGTACTTGCATCGACTCTGATCATGCCTTGGTATGCTGTCGTTTCTCCATGAACTTAAGCGGGTGGCGCACCAATCGTCTCCCCCGATTTGCAACGGAGAAATTGTCTCAGGCAAGCCTATCAACATGCGCTGCGTACCGAATTTTTGTTGTCTTGTCCTAATAACACTGCATTTTAGTGGAATAGGATCACGGCCGCCATGCACGACGCAGGAGCATCTGCTTGTGGCACTATCCATCGTCATCACACCAGTCACTGGATATCCGAGAGGTCGGTGAACTTGTTGGAATCCAGAAGGAACCTCCCGGCTGGCTCTGAGCACAATGTGACCAGACGGACTATTAGGCGTGAACTAAAGCGGAGCTTGCATGCTGACAAGGAAGCCTGGTGGGCCAAAGAAATGAAAGAGGCAGGAGGAGTTGGCAATTACCGCAAGCTCTTCCAGCTGATCTTTGCCGCTGGTTTGAGGAAACCAGGCATCAGTGAGACAATCAGAGACAGCGCGGGTGCGCTGATACACAATAAGGAGCGCCGTATGGCTCTTTGGGCGGAACACTTTGAAGATCAGTTTAGGTGACGACAGAGTCGACATCCAGCATCACTTCCATCACGAGGTGAATAAGTGAAGATAGCAACCTTGACACTGGACCCAGATTGCCTCTCCCAATAGGCCCTTGCACTACCCCAGGAGTTACGGTGTGATTTTTCAGCGGATAATATTTAGCTGGATCATTCTTCATGGCATGAGCAAGTAAAGCTGGTCGATCTGTACGTGGCCATGTCATAAATGGCTGTCGTGGTTGTCCGATAATATGTAAGTACCTGGTGCTTTTGTACCTTAACTTATTTCTGGTGGAAACACCGCAAACCCAATAAGCGTGTTCACCGCCTTGCTTACAGCACAGGAAACACAAGTGGACTACACAAAAATGTTATTTTATGCACCAATCTGAGGTGGCTGAGCCATGTGTTTGTGCGTGTCAGCACATCTCCTAAGATGTAGGCTGTTCCGGGTCACCGGGGGCGTGGATGGGAGAGGAGGGGAGTACAGCCGACGACTTGGACAAGATGCACTAAACTTCTCACTCTAAACATTTTCTCGGTTGTGTTGTGTTCCAGCTCCCCGGTTAGGGTGTAGACGACGATGAAAATGCTTGGTTAGACACTTGTTGATAGCCAATAACCAAACGGGGTTTATTTTATGCATTTCTTCTTTCCTCCTGCTCCCTTTTGATCTCTGCAATTGGTTTGATGATGCGTGTCAGGTACAAAGCACGATTCTGTTGTTTTCTTGCCTTTTTGCGGTACATCAGTCGAACTGTTTCTGTCCTTTATCTGACATGTAGAATGAAAGTTATGATGATGCACCTTACGAAGCGTAAAAATACAGTTAATATCTTCTCTGCCCGACTGAAAGCTGGACTAATTTTCACCGATTCAACCATCACTAAGATAACTGAACCATCGAAACATGGGGCATTTTGGTGACAATAAAGACAGGGATAATACTTCAACTAATTCAGCAAAGCCTCCTTTAGTCCTCTTTAAGAATTGGAATGAAAGTTTGTAATCTCTGCTCTAATGCTCTTTCCCACAGGGTCAGGTGGTGTCAGTCTGAGCCATTGTTCTTCCTCGACAATGGTGTGAGGTCGCTGATGCCATTCATTTTATCTCCTCTCAACAGCATTAGTTCGTACCGGACATGACCACTTCTCACTGAAGAGTGGGAAATTGATTATCTCTGATCACCGGTGCTTCCGGAACATTATATATCTAATCGGAGCACCGTATAAGCAGTAGTGAAGTCCGCCAGTTTGTGCTCATGAAAAAACCTTGTGATACCACACTTGAGTTTTCATTAAAGTAGTGCCGATTCCGCTGGCCAAAACCATGTTCTCTCCATGCCCGTTTACCACCCCTTCGGTCTACCTTATGTGTTGTGTCACCTAGGCTCGCGAAACCACAAAATGGTCAAACAACCTGGCATAAAGATCGATGCACTTGATTAGGCTGGCGCTCGCCGTCAGCGTGCATGCGAATCTCAAAATGGACCACGTTCTTGATGACCCTATCGCTTTGTGATGCATTCTCAGTGTCAACGGCACTTCTGCATTCGGTTCTTTTCATGTACTTGTTAGTATTCCATCTCGATTACATTTGCTCGCTTTTTTCCTATCCCCATTTCTTTGCATTATATTTACTTCTCACTATTGTTGAGTACCGCTGTCATGGCTACGTGATTTGATTCAGCTGGATTCACCACCTTTCCGGTGTCCAGGTCGTAGTTGTCTAACCGATCTGAATCAGACTTCGTCGATAGTATGAATACATACATCAACATCTCGAGTGAGTTCATATGATTTAATTAGCCATTCTGACATTTAGTCGCTAAAATTGTTCCTCAGAGTGTTCATCTCAGCGCTGCCTTGGACATTTTTCGAAACAAATATAGTGTCCTTGTGACATGGATTTCCTTCTTGAACTTGTGTCGAAAGAGTTGGGACCGCACTCCGGTGTCCTCATCAGCACTCACCTCCACCTCACCGTTCCGTGCTTTCGCCAACGCCTCCTGCCATTTCGGTGATCAGTCATTAAACACCGCTTCAACTTTTCATGGGTGCACTGGGTCCGGTTGCCTTATAGAACCATACTTACAGTAATAGAAACCCAGCTAACTCCTGCAATATTTACGTGTACGAGAGTAAACGATCAAGCGGACTCGGAGCTTTCTTGCGTAGCGCAACGCCTACTATCCCATTTGTACTTTGTCATTTCCATCTTTCCCCCCAAGCCTTCCCGTCTTCTTATCCCTCTTACGGTTTATTACTCTTATTGCCCCCCTTTTTAACCCCTAAATTTTTGGCCCTTTCCCACCATGCTCTGATAGACTTTTATCTTCTAAGCTCAATTCACATACAAACGCGGACCGTCACTCCTGCCGTCGACCAGCCTATGTCTAACCAAGCGGTCAAGCCCAATTCATGCTCTTCCGCCATGCTCCACAGTCACCAGTTTTGCAGGGATGGCCGCTCCCAATCCCGGAGGCTTGATGCTTCCACAAAACCCCTTCTTGCCCCAGCTTATGGTCCCAACCTCTACCACCGCTGCTCCTTGTGCCACAACTTTAGGAAGTGTACCCAATCCACCACATTCCCTACCTAACCCATCACCTGCCTTTCTTTCTGGATTGGCCCAATCTCATCCTGCTGTGGCTGCTGCCATGGCGATTGCCGCCGGTTTTTCCCCCACGGTTTCATCAAGCGTTTCTGGCCATTCACTCGGCTCTATTACGAGCAACGATCACCATGCGTATTCTTCTCAACTGCCTGCACACTTCAATAACATGGCAACGCCTTCATTCCCCGGGTCATCGACCAATGCACTTAGCGGTACACCTTTGCCCTCATCCATGTCTAACGCGGTTGGTCCACCCACTCTTATTCACAGTCCTTATCCATCGAACCATGGTTCCGGGTGTCCAAATAACTTCTCGCCGACATCATCCTCTTTCGCATCGCCATCGGGCTCCCGACTACCCGGTATTCTTTCGGACACAGGTGCGGGACCTACAGGATTGTCGCCATTTCCACCAATCATGTCCCCTGCTGCATTGTCAGCACTCATGAGCGACAAGAATTTGGATGACAAGCAGGTAACTATAATTCAATTACATTATGCTTTCGGTAGTTATCCGAGCCTATACGCGCGTCACACTGTGTTTACATTACTCAAAACCCAATCTATCTTACGCAGCGCTGCGTCCCACCATTGTTTCCACCCTGTCTGATGGGCGAAAGTAAGCTGTTTGAGCGAGCTTATATCCTGCCAACTGATATGTTTGGTCGCGTTCGTTTCTCCCGCCACTGGAACTGTTTGCGGCTACACTACGTTTGATTAAGTGAAGGAAATCCTCTGGCGCTTACTCGATTATTTAGCGAAACGTCGCATAGGATTTAACCGACTGTTTTGACAGGGTTGGTGTATTCTGCCTCTTTTTATGAGGGCATCGGGATCAGCCACACTAGAGCTCCGATTTAACCCCATCGAGTGGTCAACTCTTCTTCTCCATTTGGTGTCTCCATATTTTGCCTACACATTTCTTTCTCCTCTCGTCCACTTGTCTTGCTGCATTTTCCTTACTGTCCTTACCTTCCACTTCCCACTCTACTTCGTGACTCTGTTTATAGTTGTTCGCTTGAGCTAGTGCTGGTGGAAATACGAGGCAGTGTTTAGGTCGTCCACGTAGCGAGTCTCCTTTCATCACCTCGTTCTTTTTGTTCTCCTCGCGTAATGCTTCCATACATTCCGGCAACAAGATCGGACAAGTGAAATTCGCTTTCAAGAATCGTATTTCATTCTTTACTGCACTTTTTTCTAGCCCCGACCTACACCATTACTTTTTTCAACCCTGGGCTTTTGGCTGAGTCGGAAATACCGAGTCACACATAGTCGCCACTCCGTGCAGAGGATAGAATCAACCGTACACATCAGCCCATCCATGCTTTTGCTCATTCTTTGCCTTCGATCTCATGTTTTAATCGAATTCTTCACTGTCTCGGACGCTGTTTAACGTAGTACCAAATATATGATCACATGAGACCGCCTCTTAAACGGATGGGACTTCAGTCTCGTTTGTCCGTATGACGCCTGTTCCAACTGCATGATGCCCTGGTTCTGACACATAATGAAAATATAAGATTGAAACGTTGTCAAACTGTTACAATTGGTTTTCGGCACTCTCTAAGGCCATATAAATGTCTAGAACATTGTGTTTGTTTTAATAAACGCCATCGTGAATCGCTTATGAAAATTCTCGCTTATCTCCGTTGGTTTTGAAAATCGCAGTAGCCTTGATTCATACAAAAATCATCATGCAACCACCATCAGACCATTACCGTTTGAGGTGCGACGCATAGCAAAGTCGCGGTTAAACCGCTTGGGTGCACATGTTCGTTCTTTGTCCACACGTTCCACTTGTACATAGCCTCGAGGCTTGGACCAGAAACATGGAATCGTTTCCGCACGGCTTTCTGTCGTAGCGATGCTACTTAAGAGAGAAGAGGAGGATTTCCGGAGTCGTCGTCCGCATTCCATGCGTCTCCACTCGTTCGATACCCCATTCATCGTTAACATCCACTCCACTGGTGGGTGATGCTTCTCCACAACTGTCTCGTGAGAGTGGCGAGAAAGGCGGCGGTATACTTTCGCATTAATGACCACAGCGACCATTGTGCGTGTACAGCGCTGTGTAAATCACTGATTCCTTTAGACTGCCCGTCTCCTAAACTTCTGCGACCTGTATTCTTTTCAGGATCAGTCACTCCATTCCAGGAGACAATTAGTGAATATCTTTAAGTGAGCCTTCCCACCGCATGTTTACCTAAATTCTCTTCCAAGTTCTCAGCACTGTTTCTCATTTTGTTTCGTCGGACTCCGTTTTCAAGTTATCAGGAAGTTAGAACGCTGTATTAGCCCTAACTGGCTAAGGGGACTCAATCTACGCGCGCAGTCATCTCAAGATTCCTATCCACCGGCCCTTAAAGTCTCATCTTCTGTCGTTGATTCGCAACACTTCGAATGGGGAACTGTCGGTGGTCGTGGCTGGTTAGCACTTTACTGAGTTTGCTCACTGACGAAGCAAATGACAGTCGCTAAACAGGCGCCTTCCCTCACTGTGTTTGGTCGCGGTTGTCGAACCGGTTGCTATTACGGTGGGTTACATTAGGTCGGTGTTTGGTTTTGTAGCTTTAGTTGCCGAAATCTGCTGTTCATTTCGCATCGCCTTTGCATCGTGGCTGGCTAGCTGGGTGTGGCAACTGCTGCTGCTGCTGCTGTCGAATGAATCGGCATGCGTCTCTGATGCTTGCTCTTCTGTCTCCACCCCACTCATACACACATTTTAGTTCACGTGTGGGTTTGTCGGTTGGCTATGGTGGTCGGCTTAACGTTAGTGTTCGTGGTCCTCATCTCTGCGCCTTGGCGTTAGTGTCGTGACATGCGGTGTGCGTGTGTCTGTCCGTCGGGTGGTGGACCAAGACATGTGTGCCATCCATACCTAGTGGGGGTGTGTACCGTCCTTTCGTCGTGTGCACGGTTGTCAATAGTCGATGCGTCTGTAGCACTGGGCCGGTTGCATTCTCGTCTCCTTATGGACCTCCGATAAACAGTCGGAGGCTCACATAGATGCGCGCGCGCGCGTGTTGCCTGCATCCCGGATCAGGTGGTCTTGCCCTTGCTCTAACGCGGGAATTTGTTCCAGTTAACTGCGACAGTGCCTATCCAAATTAACACACAGACTCGTCGCCATTGCAAAGAACATCATTAACGTCAACCGAAATCCTGAATACAATTCTTTGGCGTTACGGCAACGTTTCCACGGAGTGGTAGAACAGGAGGGCTATACTAAACCAGGTAGGCTGAAACGCGGGGATTCCCCTCAGCCAACCGGGATACCATCCAGTAAAACAAGCAGTATCCTCATCCTAAGGAGAAGCGTTTTCACGATTGCCTTTGTGGATTCTGAAGGCAATTTGTGGCGTTCCGAAAGCGTCATACCGATGAGGCTAGAACGGAATCTTTCTACTCTACATTACTTGTCGGTGTTCTTCACTCGATGCGCTTCCAGTCTATCATTCACATTTCGGTTCCAGCTTGTGGTAGATTTTACTAACACCGGCACAGCGTTTCACAAACCACATCATCTTGACTCCACTCAAAACATAGGTGTTTATTGGCGCGCCCAGACTCATTTCGCGTGTGAAAGTACCGATGACGACTCAACATCTTCGGTCGCTCACGAATTTCCGTGGTCTAAAGATCAAGGCGTTAGTTGTTAACTATTCGGTCCTGACTCCCACTCTCAACTCCGGCTCTCTCTATCTGATGATTTTAAACTAGTACGTATTCAAACAAGGACGAAACGCGTTGTGTAGTGTAGTGGTTGGAAAACAATACCGAAACCCTCCACCTCAATGACGGTCCCAGTGATCAGAATGGCACAACCTGACTTAAAAGTCAATCGAAGCCACTATTGAGATTGCGTGGTACAATCCAACTACACGGTGGGTACTTCAAAGCTCATGTTTAGACGCTTGCGATAATTTACGTTTGCGGCCATCTTTTTCTCTTGTCGGGGCACCATCATTCGCCACATTCGTCCACACCCGGTGACCTACTTGGCATCGGTTGTTCACGGATGAACTTCCGAACGCCTCTGCACGATTTCATTATTGATATAATCACCAACAGCAGTACTCTGTACAGTTGCCTGTCTAGTATAATTCCATAATTACCGAATATAAGCCCGTCCATATATAGGCCGACAGTGTAACTTTGCAGTATCAACTTTGTCCAAACTCGTAAGTCCCTATATTAGCCTACCCCGCAAAAATTCAACAAAAAGAGAAAAGAAATTGTTTCCCCACGGTTTTGAAGCCATCACTACCTGCTCTCACTTGAGTGTGTTCAAGCGAAACCCGCTCTACCATTGGTCGGTTGTGTTGACCGTAAAGTAAAAAACGCTTTTGATTCACTACCCAACCTAACGCTAATTCGACATCACATGATCCAGCTTGTAGGGAAGGTGCGAACGTATTGGGCACTTTAAATCCCCGTCTAAAACACCATCCTTCACAAACGGGTGGTGCTAAGTGGCGATTGGGACAGAGGTGTGTATTGAATTCCTCGGTGGATTTTGCATGTGACTTTTTTTCGAATTGCGTGTAACCTTTTTATAAATCTAAGCCCCTTTTACAGAAATGAAACATTGTCCAAAAATTAGCGGCATATATTCGGTAATATACAATTCTCCATTAAGGGAAAAAGGCGTCAGCAGTACCCACCCTTCGCTGCTATATGACTACACCTGGGCTGAGTATTCCGCGATGTTGCAGACTCCTACGCAGATTCGAACTGGTGACCTTTGGAGTACAAGCCAGGTGTCTTATCCTTTTGATCACAAGTGCTTGCCTCGATACTGAACAATCGGCAGCATCCTTTCCTTGCCGCCTTCACTGCCCTGTATTACCATCGCGCTCACTCCCCAAATAACTTAGTATCACACTATGAGCAAATGGCCTGACTATGAGACAACTGTAAACACGCCGATGGTGACTGTCTGAAGCCATACTCTTTTGGGTCTCAAGACGCGCAGGATTGGTCGCGGCGACTGCATTCTGGAGCGCAGGATAACCAAACGGCAGATAATCTGGCAGTACAAAATTTACTTTCTGTCTCCATGTTTTAACCCCGATACATGTGTTGTAATTATTATTGAGCGTTTGGTATTGCGACGTTACAAATTCTTCCTGGAGCTTCTCCAGGGCAATCGCAATAGCATTTTCTTGATAATGCCATAGATGACGATGCCTTTGTTTTGATGAACAATATCTTAGCCGGCTAGAAGAAAGTCCCGACTTTAGAATCGGGAACATATCGTTAACGAATAGCTCTTATCCTAGATCTTACCAATATTCCATATCAGGCGAGCAAAATGAGGTGGTTCTCAGTATGAGCTAACATAGCTCTACATTTCTTCTTATTGTCAACCTTACATTTCGCACGTTAACCGGAGACGTAAAGCATCTTAGCTGCGGTCTCACATTACAACTGACATAGTCATGAAATGAAAACGAAGTATATTACACTTTGCTTTTTTTCATGCGTCAGAAGTAACCTCTTAGCTGGAAATGAAGGCTAAGTGGGATTGAGAGGAACAAACATGGCCTGTGCGAACAGTTATGGTGCCCGATCCGCATGAGACAAGGTGCACTGTGTTGTGGGTGCGGCTTATCGCAGCCCGTGAAGATGATGCCTGGATTGGTTGCTGCATGTCAGAAACTACATGACTCGGCCCCGCTTCTTGCTTAGGGGCAATTTTAACTTCCCTCGAATACGGTGGTCTGATGTTCAACTTCTCTCCGGGCACTATGAAATCGAGGCGAGTTTGTGGAGGTGACATTTGAAACTGAAGCAGCACAACATGTTTGCCAACTGACGCGCTTTACACCGCATTCCGCTCCTTCGTGCCTGTACCTATTACTAACTAATTGCAAGCAACGTATATATGAAATTCAGGTCCTTGAGCCTCTAGCAGCTAGTGACCACTCGATGGTGTTAGCCAACCTAGAACTGCCGTTACCCTTCTCGCGTCCGCCGGAGCCGTCCTACAATTATTGGAAGACCGATTTTGATGGTCTCACTCGAGCCTCCATTGAGGTGAATTGGTCGCTGCCGCAACATTCATCTGTTGAAGCCTCTTGGTCTGTTATGGAAGAGGGTGTGCAATCATTTTGCACTCTTTTCGTACCCCTCAAGTATCGGAAAGCTGGTCCACTGAAACCACATTGATTCGACAGAGAGTCTGGTCAATTGGCTCGACGGCGAGGCGTATTGTGGAATAAATTCCTTGTGTCTCACTCTACCGACGATTATGAAACGTACAAAAGGCAGCGGAATCCATGCAACATCACGAAACCGTCGTCAGCTCGAAGAGGAGCTTGCAACCCCCTCGAAGGCGGCTTCCAAGAGGATTTTTGCAAACGTAGAGCGACGCTTGAGGTCCGCAAGTGATGTTGTTGTGTTAGAGGGCACTGACGGACAGCCTCTGACCTGCAGCACTGAACGTGCGTCCGCGTTTGCGGAGCAATTCGCTTCCCTACTTACAAGTTGGCATTCGCCTATGCCGTGCTCGACTTGTGCACATCTTTTTGGCGAAGGTGTTAGAGTCGAAAGATCTCCTAACGCCGGCATAGCATGGCTTCTTGAAGGGATGTTCGTGCATCACCAATCTGTTATCGACGCGACAGGAATGGTTGCAAACGTTGAATCTGGGGAAGCCAGTGGATGTTATATGGATTTCAGTAAAGCTTTCGATAAAGTGAACCATGAGGTCCTGCTCCACAAGCTAAGAATGCGTGGTGTTGATGGCGCACTATACCAGTGGATCAGTGACTTCTTTATTGGGAGAAGCTGGCGGGTTCTGGTGGATGACCACCTAACGGAATGGTACCCGTTCACTAGCGGCGTACCCCAAGGCACAGTACGGGCTCATTTTATTCCTGATCCACATAAACGAAGTGCCTCAGCTTCTCCGGCCGCCTTATGCACTGTTTGTAGACCACTTGAATATTTGGACCTTTATTGCTTCTCCCGACCACTGTGAGGTCCTTCAGTAGGATCTCGACCGCCTATCCTGGTGGTCTGCAGAAGTTGACCTATCGGTCAACCCGGACAAGTCCTCGTTTACGAGCCTGCAGTGGGGTGGTAATGGGCGTGCCACCCACTGCATTCCACCAATTCCGTAAAGGATCTAGACGTATTCTCACGCTGTGATCTGAAGTCTGTCGGCAACACAAGCAGACTGTTTGCAAACGGACTACGTTTGCTTTGAGCACCTGGACGCAGCTTCTGCATTTGGTCCGAAAGATTGCCACCCGTCTGTTCTCTTCCATGATAATACCGATGCTTGAGTACGGTTTACCCGCCTTTTGTCTGATCACAATAGGAGAGATGCAGGGACTGGAACGGGTCCACTATGTAACTACCCGGCTCATCCCCAGTTTACGGGGTATGTTGTACGAGGACCGATGTAGGAGACTAGGGTTTTATACCCTCATTATGACGCACCTGATACTGCACTTGCGCAATTGCCCTATGTTGAGGCCGCTGCTGCACGTTCGCGCACCAAGCAGCACACATGGACATCGATACAAACTAATGGTACCGGATTCAAAGCGCTCACCTATGCTTCGAGCGTCGAGTGGTGAAATATTGGAACAAGTTGCCGGAGACGCTAGTCGAAGGGAAATCGGTGTCGGAACTTAAGAGATTCCTTGACGCTCACTTTGCGGACGACAGGTATAGGGAACGTATCGCACCCGGATAAGATGTAGTGCGGCTGCAATATGCTGCTACCACGCAGGAATCAGCGAGATGATTCTGTGCATGTGTCCAATCCACTTAAGATGGAGCAACACAGATTTTCATTTCATCCTCCATTCTCAGTATTCACAGCTCAAACGCCATTGAGCTCTGTCTCAATCAAACATGTTCATCGCCGTTGTGTTCCAGTCCCGGAGTTTAGAGACTAGTCGAACCCAAGTTCGGAGTGAAGATACTTCATCTCTCTTGTTCAAGTCAGAGTTGCGTCCCCTCTTCTTTTTCCGTCCAGAGCTGTCTTGCAAGCAACACACGTCGTTGGAGTTGACTTGCTAGTATGCGTATTACCATCCGGTCAGCTTAAAAGGCCAACGCTGAGCATTTCAACAGATCTTCCTGTGTCATAAACAACGCGGCGATTGTGTCCATTGCTCACACAGTGTTCCCACCGGATGTGAGCTGAACTGCGAAGGCACTGGTGATCGAACCCGATTGGCCTGTTTATTTCTTAATTTGATAGGCCATGTTTCGTAATGGTACAGATGGGTTTAACATGTGGTAGTGTTGTAGCTTTTACCCTTGAGGACTAACGTGATGCCACAGCGGTTTCACGAGTGTTAAAGCTTAGCGAAAGCGCCCTGAGCGGTTCTCGCAACTGATCGCTCTAGTCGCCTGCACTCAAGTGTACTGTATTAGTGTTTGCATAACTGCTGCTCAGTTATATTCACTAGGAGACTTGATTTGGCTAACCACATCCTCTTACGTCAGATTTGGCAGCGTTAGTCAGCCGTGGACTGCATGTTATTTCTGCTGCATACCTGTAATTTAAACCGAGCATGTCCTCTCTATGTGCTTCTTCAACCACTCGTATTTAGACGCCTTTGGTAACTTTATTGAACATTGTTAAAATCGGAGCCAGGGCAACTCTTGGACTATCACCTAATTGATTACCGGACACTGTTCGTATGCCAACTGTGAATATTGGTTACCTATTTTCGTTCGGTCATAAAACACTACGATCAGCCTCACCTGTGAATTCTATGCTCACTGTTGTAGCCTTCCTAATTGTTGTCACCTGCTCTGGTTCGCCCTCACATTTAGCTCCACATGACCACTGACTTACGTGCTCAACCTTTTCACTTTTGCTCATGTTTATTTGTTCCGCTTTCTCCACACAGCGAACTGCTGCGGCAGCTGCTATGGCTGCAGCAATGGCTGCGGCCGCTGCTGCTGCTGCTACTTCTCCAGCTGCATTTGGGCTACCACCTGGGTTACCGGGCTCCACTGCTAACTCCATGGATGCTCACAGCCTGATGGCTACCATGGCAAGTTTTGCCGCCGCCCAGTCTGCGGTAGCTGCGGCGGCTGGGCTCGATTTGGATTCCACTGCCGGCAGCCTTTTGGGCGGGGCACCTGCTTTCGCACCCAATATTTGCAACAATGGAATCCCTATATCGGGGACCGGAACCACTGGGTTTGGTTCCCCCTACTTCTCTAACATTGCTCACGGATTTCCCCCACCCAAAAGCTCTACTCCTCTCTCTGGTTCTGGCCAGCGTCAAGGATCGTACACCCCACCTGGAAACGATCAGTTAGGACTGACACAATCGGACCAAAAGCGCCGCCGCATTGAATGCGTAAGTACAGACATTGTGTGCTCTATCTGGTCGTCATTTTTGTCTAACCTTTGCTTTATGTTGAGGTGTATCAGACAAAGAATTCATTCATTCTGAACTCTGGTGCGTATCCAGCTACATTTGTTTCCATCTTGATTCCATTCGTCTATCACAATTTAGCACCAAATGAATCTCAATTTGATTAGATTTACTCCACTGTGTTTGTTTTTGATGTTGGTACCCAGGATACGACAATAATGTGTACATCAGTTCGGTCGTATTTGCATCCTGGCTTTTGACTCCTCTAGTCCTCCAGCTGTAGCTCCGCTATACTCTTTCAGTTTCACGAATTGCACCGATACGCTGTTTGCATTTGTAATGCACTTTCACACATGGCGCCGTTGACAACAGCTGTTCCTAGTATGGTCTACATGCGTCTGTGGCTACTTTGGAAGTCTTGCTACGGTGTTGGGGAATTGCCGCTGGTGATGATTAATACGTGCCAACACAAATAGCATACCCCTTCCTCAATATACCCTGGCGGCTTTCAAGTATCTGAGCACATGTGAAAACACTGGTCGCTGTTCGTTCGTACTCGCTGCGTACGCCCCAACTGACTGCACTCCTGACGTAGCCAGTGACCCCATTACCACGGAGTTGGCATACTACTACTCAACGGGGCCACCGGCTCAGCTATGGTTCTAAGTGCAGGGCTGTGACTGCGCATATCAAGAACGGCCTCATTTTGTTTGCCTGATCTAGATTGGCGTAAGGTTTGGGATGAGATTAATCGTGGACTTTAAAGCAAAGAATGAGTTGTGTGACCATGTGAGGCATATGAGTCATCATGGACCATTAGATGTTCACAACCCAGCATTGACTGCCCGTACGTATGTACGTAACAGTATGTCTATCACTCACCCACTCACTGGCGAGTTGTTCTCAACTACATGCTCTTGTCATAATGCACGGTGCGTACTATCCGATCGGCGTATTCTGTTACCTTCACTTCCCTTCAGCTACGAGCCGTTACTGCGTTCCCAGACCTTGCGTTATTTCCGCACTCGTTGATTTTAACGCTGGTGAAGGAGTTTATACCTGGATTAATTCATTATGAGCCGCCTTACTCCATCTGATCCGTTTTCGAATGTAACGGTTTCCAAGCCATTGCAGTTTAGACTCAGTGGAAACAAGCATTCTGTGAGTATTTTGAAGTACAAATCAACACAGTAGTATCACCAAGCATCAATGTGTGTATGTGTGAGAGACGACACTTGAACACAAAGGCTCGGAGGCATCTCAGTGCACTACGGTTGTATAAATACACTGCCCTGTCAGACTTACTAAAATCTCCGGATGGTCTTTGGAGCCTACGACAACGTATGTTTACAGCATAACTGGATGTTTTCTCAACTACGGTAAAGAGATGAATGTGTCAACGAACTTTAACACGCATACAACAGTTCGTACCTGATTGCCGTTATAGTAAGATTCCGTCTGCGAAGTTTGCAAAGGCTATGGCTATCCAATGTCTGCTAGTTGGCATTCGCGACCAAGCTAGAGAACGCCTAATCTAAAAAGACGTAAGCGAGCTTCATTTGGAACCTGCATGTACGTTGGCGAGACGAAGAGGAAATGTGGTTCAACACTTAATTCGCTACCGATACGATCACGTGTCAGACGTGACCCAGCCGATCAAACCTCGATTGTCGCCGAACAACAACCGCTCCTTTATGGGCTGCACGTGTAGCAACAGACATAAAGAGTGACATGATAGACACAAAACATCTGGGATAAATTGTTTACTATTTATTTGCCGCAAGGCGGTAACGTTTGCAATCTTGCACGTATTAACCGTTCAACAGTGCTTCCACCTCCTATATCTCACCCTCTACCAAATACTGCCAGAACCGTGGGGAATTCCGATTATTCCACGTACAAGCCACATCGCAATGCTCAGAATACCTCCAAAAACTGTGGATTTGAAGATTGAAGGACAACCGGGGTTTCTGGAAATCAGTACCGCGGCCTAAATCACGTTAGTCAACAATCATGCGTTACCCGACCTGCCGCCTTTCTCGACACAGTCTACGTTACCTTCTTACAATGGTGAATCACTCGATGTACTGGGGATGTGTGAACTATGATATACTCGTGGGACCGACACTTTTACTCTTGCATTAATTGTTCTTAACACGGATGACCGGAACTTGCTTGGCAGGAACTAACTCAAACATATGCTGGAATTACTTCAAACCGTCAAAAGATTGGACCATATTACAGGCATTCCTTTCCTTTTTGAGTATGTATGCTTGTTCGATGAAATGCTAGGGTGCATGCCGTCTGTTTAAAACTTAAGTTGGAGCGCCTCCAAAAAGACGGAATGGTATCGCTGCACCTATTGTTCAAGCACCAAGACCCGATATTACAGTCCTTATTTGTGGTGCCTGCAACTCACCATTAACCAAGTGGCGACATCAGAACACTACCCAGATTGATGAATTATATGCGACTCTGTCTGCTGGCCAGTCTTCCAAACTTGATTTAAGCCACGCTTACTCTCATGTACATCTGCATGAATCCGCTAGATGGATATGGTTGGCGGCATCCGGTTCCGGATTTACCTGTCACTGCGATCTCCATAGGACAGCCACAGGATGTCTGCGCCTACCGAGGGACCATGGGTGTCTTGCGCTGCACCACCTACAGCTCCATCCATACCCAATATCCACTGTAAGCCAGAAGGTATAAGACCGGGAGACATGCAGATGGGAGCCACGTTTCATTAGCGGAGCCGGTCCACACTGCTTCAACATGCACAGCCTCAGCATTCCTTTCAGATTAGCGAATCATGCACACCAGACGTACACAAGGCGGTGGCTGGACCGTAGCACGTTCCGCACTAGATACATGAGACCACTAGTTGAGCCTACCGCGGTCACAAGGATCGTGTACCCCATCTCTCCAAACAACAACGAATTGTCTCTTAGAGCCAATGTAATGGGGTTAGCGGTTTTTCGACAGCTAGACACCTTGTCAGCATTCGTATCAAGCACATCCACACCGGGGACATCATTCAACTGCCAACATGTGAAAAGCATGTAACTCGACGCGCACACCCATATGTACGAACCTACTGCGGCACACGCAGTATTGGCCTGGGTTAATAAATAAAATAGAATCATGACTATTCTACTTACCAAGCGCTGCACTGGTGACAAACAGCTAATCATCTGACTCGTTGCCTCTGATATAGGCCCCACGTGCCCACGCTGGTGGTTTACCAGACCAGCTTGACTGAGGCACTCGCGACCACGTGCTGCAGCACGATGCACTGCGCGTCGATGGGCTAGATTCTATCGGCACCTGTCGCTTCCTCAGCCGATGTTTCTCTTCTTTATGCTGCAATACTTGCTCGTGCACCTGCGCAATCGCATTCTTCGTGTGATCGCGCCATTGGCTACGATCCACTGACATTGCTTCCAAACACCTTAGGTCAATATTAGTTCGTGAATAACTCGCTCTTCTCATGTCTTGATAACGTAACTTCGGTTAACCCGCGCTCCGCTACGTGCACGCAACGAACCATATAACAGTTGTTCCGGTATCCGCGTCAAATCCATGAGGCGAGCATGCCCGAACCGCATCAGGTGCCGTAGCAGCAGTATGCTGTCCACTGCGGTGAAGCACCTTGTCTGCAACTCTTTCACACCAACCGATGCGCGGAACCCGACGCAGGCACTGCTTTTTTATAGCGTTCCCGATATTTGACATCCTCCCGGTACAGCGTCCACATTTCACTGCCTTATAGAAGAACCGACAGTACCATCGACAGCTGCACTATCAGCTTCGTACCAGTGATTTCCCCACACACGATTTTCCAGTTTTCCAAGTGCATCAGCCGCCTTCGAGACGCGGATACCCAGTTCGCTTGTCATCTGCAGGTCGATAAAGGGCACCCTCCCCAGGTAGCAAACTCTGTTGATGATTTCCAAAATGTCGTTACCAATCTGCATTTGCGCAAGCACGCGAATTCCATTTCTTACCAAGACTTTAAAACACAAGCATTCGTGCTTATGTTGATGGTGCGTCCGAATTTGGCCGCTGCCGAAGCGAGAGCCGAAGTCATGGGCTGCTACTCATTCGCATTGTGTGCAAACAACGCACAGCCGTCGGCAAACAACAACATACGGATGGTTGTCTCACCAAAACCACAGTTGTTTAGTAACCCCCAATCAATACGATGCTCCACATAGACACCGTAATCGCAAGCATTAAATGCACCAGACATCCTAACATTGAGGCATAGGCTAAGACACAGTCTTGCTTCACACCAGAGACAACATCAAAGTCATCCGTGGTTTATGGAAATTAGATGTTGTCCGCCCGAAAACACTGCACTCCACTACGCATTATGTTACCTCAGGCAGAGATAGCACGCCACGAACCCGAGACCATTGACATGAGACCACTACACTTGTAGGTTCGCCTCAATGTGAATCACAGTCCACCTTAAGATTGCTCATTGTAACCCAGTCACACTACAAGTAATTCAGGATAACCGTCGAATCATCCGAGATTTGCCCACTCGACTGCACGTTCGCCCGCATACCACTGTGCAGACATTCAATTAAACTTGAAAACCTACTCGGACAACCAAATTTACCCAACATCAGCCACAGTGCCTCGCGGTTCACTGCGCCAAATGCCTTGGTGAATTCAACGAACACAATGGCTGGTGTCAATCTCTGCATTTCTCCTGCAAATGACGAGCCGCGAATACCTTATCCATTTTGCAGCGGCCCTAAAGAAGCCCGTATTGCTCTGAAGGTCTATAGGTTAGTGGATCGTTGAGGCGGGCCAACCATCTCACCAGGTTAAGGTCCAATCTTGCTGCGATGGTTAGGCATCAAACACTCGAATACACATATTACATCTCCTCGCTTTGTTCCGATTCCTCCGCAAAACTTCCAGCTCATCTGAAGGAAAAAGCAGAATTCAAACGACCCAGACAAAATAACTTGTCAATCGCCGCTAAAAACACCACAAAATGAGACAGATTTTGGTCGTATTTATAGGTCACTTGATGACCTTCGACTTCCAGAATAGGAAGGTCGACTGGTAAAATTAGTCATGCCATACCGATCCAGCCAATTTGCGGAGGTTGGACAGTCACTTGCAGTCTTGGAAAATGTCAGAATGTTCGAAATCCACGCGATAATCGGTAGCAATCGATTATTTGCTAGAATGGTGCGTTTTTCCGGCTTACTTTTTCCCGGACACGGAACAACCATTTAAATAAACCTTCCACTGACTTCTACTGTGCAAGCGCCATATCTTGAATTGAATCGAGCCATTGGCACTCTTCCTTCTTAGGTCCCCAACCAGACAGGTGTGTAGATTCAACGGTGGTAAGACGGGAAACGAGCGATTTCATGCTCTGTTGTTCGGTGGGTGGCTGACCCCCACGTGGTCACTTCCAGCCACGTGACGCACGTGCGAACGATACGCGACGAAGCGAAGGCTCAGATGAAACATACGCGATGTAAGCGAGCCATCTTAACTGGTACAGCGAAATCAGCTTGTTGAAGGAAACACTTACATTCCCTAAGACACGACGTCTGACTTTGCTGTTGCAAAATTCACCCGTCACCGGTGCATAAAAGCGCATTCTTGACTTGACTTCGCCACCACACACGAGCAGTCCTCAAACACTCACTGTCGAACACCGAGAGCCGCTGCGACCTGCTACCACATAACAACACCGCCAAAACGAAGTACTTGTAAACACGATTCTTCACCAAGAGGAAGACATCCTGACGAAGTCACAAGTGTTTCAGGTTGAGAAACGCTGACTGCGCTTTGACGGTGCAGAGGTTAACGTCCTTTCCAACAGTGCCACCGGTGGACATGCAGCTGCCCAGGCCGATAAAGGTATCCACTTGTTCAAGTTGTGTAGCTTCATGAGTGAGCACGGGAGCGAGCGAGTGCAAATCCTGGGGCAGCAATTCACACCTCGACGGTGCGAAGCACATTTCATACTTAGATGCCACAACCACCAAATTGTTCAGGATTTTTACACACTTTGCGAGACGCAGCCACGTAATGCGATGTCTTCAGCAAAGTCTAACTCCGTCACTCGTTTGTTCAGTAGTAGCTGCATATTAAAAGATGTGTAAGCTTATAGAGCTCCCGACAGGACGCTTTCAATCGCAAAATGGAAGAGGAACGGATACATAAGGCAACACTGTTGCATAGCGCTATTGGCAGCGAAGGACCAAGAAAGCTTGCCAATGGTATTCACCTTGTCGGATACTTGGAGTGGAGGAATGTGACGTACGAATTATCGTCGCCAGTCCACTGTCCATACCTTCAACACTGACTGTCCATACGTTTGCGCGTGGAGGTCTGTCTACCACTCATCTATTTGGCGATTTGTTCAGCTGCATGATCGATACGCCTTACATGCTTCTTGTCATATTGCACGCTGCGTGCTATCAGATCGCGGCGTGTTCTTTTGCCTTTGCGTCGTTTAGGCTACGAGCCATCACTGCGTTCACAAACCATGCTTTTTTTTCTGTAAACTGGAGTTTAACAGCCTACTGGTTTATGCGCTGCTGGTCTGCGTCTCCCTTCCGTTTGAGGTCCGCACTACTCTCCCTACTCTTCTGTGGAGACATTGCAGAGTTTTGCGCACTGTCGACAACCATGGTCTGCTAGTTAGATTAAGAGTTTAAAGCTTGTGCAATGTTAAATTCTGCAAAGATGTCCTCTAACTGGTGCCACCTTTCGCGCATCAGCCAATTGTTCGTCGCATTGATTTTTTGGCATGTTCCAGGTGCCAGATATTTAGTGCGTTTGGGTTTCACATTGTATCAAAGCCCATCACTTCTTGCTGATTGAGTCCTCATGCTTACATCTCAATTAGCTTTAAGCACAAAGTGTTGGTCCTGTTGTTGCCCCAGAAAGCTCATCTTTTCGCATGCTTTTCCATAGCTCTGGTGGCTTCGTTGTGTTCAGAGCTAGTGCGTGTGTACAAAAACTCGTTGTTCTACATTTCATTGCGTCAGTCACTCATAATCCTACACCTAGCCGATTGTGGTCAGTGATTGTTCTTTGCTTGCATGCAGCCAATTCTGCATATTGTCTGTTGCTTCTGTTGCTCTGATCACACACAACCTATGCCCATGTGGTTCAGGCATCCTACTTAGTATCTCTACATCTTGCCGGTTTGAGTCTGCGCAGATGCGAGCTACCTGGCAGTATCCCTAGCCATCACGCAACTACTGTGTTATCATAGAAGCGATACGTCAACATAAGATACGAGCATACTGCTGTCGCTTTATTAGCATAGCAAATATGAACTACATCGAACGATATATTTTACTCACGTCGAGAATTAGAAAATAGTTCCTCCATCGTCAGTCACCAGAGCCTTCTCGCCGTTTACCATACTGGGTGAGACATTCCTTTTTCACGTTTCTGCCATAGCAATGTTTCAGATCACCCAACTGTGTTGGTTCTAGTCTAGCACATTATAATCCTTTTCGGGGTTGAGGTTACCATCTGCATGACGTGTAACGCTTAATGCACTACGGGTGCTGCAGTGATCCTTTGTTAATCTTTATATTGTTTCGATTTTTTTTCAGCTTGTCCCGGATGATCCGATGAACGCCCTCTCCAGTGTAGAGGAAAATGGCCTGGTTAGTGTATACACATTGATCTGTAGCCTTTTAAATCTGTTATGTGTTACTGGTTGCCTACCTCGCTCATCTACTTTGTTATTCATTGCTGTATTACGTTTCATGGTAGTCTTTCGTTACCACATTTCAGTGTTTACTTTTGTGAAATTCTTCTATGCTTCACCGTCTGACGGTGCAGCTGTGTGTGCCATACCGTTCACCCTTTCTTATTGCCCGCAGTATTTCAAAATAGGTATCTCTGGCCCACTGAATTCCACACGGACTTGTCACACCACAAAAATGATGTGAAACAATGTGCTATTATTTTTCCTGCTCCCCTCATTGTCTTCCACCACTTCCTTTCTCTTGTTTAGGATTCCTTGGGTGCTGGTTGGGTTGAAAGACCGGGTCGCGAACGTTCCGAAGTAATGAGGGTAAGTTGTCAGTTTAATAGACAATTCCGCTTCACGGTAACAAATACAAATTGTGGACTCATATCAATCGAAAATACGTTTTATGCACTCATACGGAGACATTATATCAAATTTTTACATTAGCACTGCGAAAATGACACGGCTAGATAAGAGAACATAAAATTTTATATTTCGATCTCATAAACAAACTAGTCACCGTACTAGCCGAAGTAGTGTATGGGGTGAGAATTTCCGTATAAAATCCTGGCTAAAAGTTTGCGCATGCATATTTGCTAACGATGCAATCAACGAGAGACTCCTGCGCATCATGGAACAAATGTTAGCGAATTGTTTGAGATTATTCGCAACGGCCAGTTTTCCACATTTCCGGATAGAACAGGAGATGGCACACGCAGGAAATAACCCTTTACAAATAGTCCCCTGATAAAATAATGCATAGTTTGTGTACCTCAACGGTCCACTGAATGCTGCTGGTGGTGCGAGCACTAGCTCTTCAGTTCGACAGGTGTAAATTGGGACTTTATACATGACCGCCAGTATCCTCCTGCTTCAGCTCCTATCAGGTGGGAACATCGCCTTGTTTATGTTACAGAGAGAGCAAGAGATGTGCTCCACACCGTTATTTCACGAACCAGACGTTGAAAGTTGGGTCATGTGCTACGGTTGCTAACACACCGACTCTCAATATGATTTCTTTGCTTGACCGACACAATAAAACAACGTAGCAATATTTGTTTTGTCTTTGTTTTTTTACAATTATGTGATAGCTTAGCATTGCGGCACGATAGTAAAAGTGTTTCTCGCCTTTCGCTTATGCCCAGAATGCTGCCGCCGCTGCTGTTGATGGTGATGGGGAAATGGAAAGTGAGCAATGTAGCCAGTATGTGAGAACACGGAAAGCATTTTGAATTCGGGAGTGCAAAATGATAGTTGTATGGCTTTTTGAAATAGAAATATGTATGGGTCCGGGATAAACCCTGGAGCAAATAAATGCCGATATACTTCACCCTACGTGAATGCCGTATAGTGATCATTAGCGGCTAAGATAAAGGTGGGTATTTACAGGACATCGCAACATTTCATAGCGGGAAAAGAAAGGCCAAAACAATTCTAAGGGTTCATGATGAAACACCCAGAGCTCGACTGATTCACGATTTTATCTGATTATTGTTGAAGTTTTAAAAATTCCTCATCGGATTAGATTACGCAACCTAAAACGATGTCATCAGCATGTTCGCATTCAATGCAATAGGTTGGTTTAGGAAGACTTTCAAGTTAAGGGAAGTGAAAGCAGACATGGTGCCCTCTGCAAAACACCATATTTGGCTGACAATGCAAGAGACATTTTACCCCATAACTGCGTAATTTTTGTACCATTTGTGAAGTAGCTACTCATTAAACCACATTTTTCTGGCAGGGCTCCATTTTCGAAGCAAAGTTGACCAGTAACGATGTGTCACTCAAAAGTGTTTTTGTAGCCACATAAACAGGAACATTTTTATGCAATGCAACTCCATCGGAATACACAAACTACTGAACTGCATCCATTGTCATTGAATAACAATCCGTCGGGGCATTACTGGTGCCCGCACCGATGACATAATCGTTCAGTTCGTTTAATCAAAAACTAACATTATCTAAGTGCGGTGGCTTGGACACTTGCTACTTAGTCCACCCCATCTCTTACCTAGCAGAGCCTCCTTTCCTTTTTCTATTCGCATTGAGGTACGAGGAAGGCATTCGTTGACCTCACAGCGTGAACTGGTCTCTCTGTCCACCTTACAGAATGCTTAGAATCTGGTTTCCTATGTTACAGTCTGCGTTACCCACATTATTTTTGACTCGATATAGCAACATTTGCCCTTCGGAGATATCCTCTTGACCAAATTGCTTGTTTGTGTGCGTGTACTGTTGCGCCATCCGAGTGGTAAGCACGCTTGTGATGCGGAACATTGAAAGTCACCAGAACGCTGCCTAGGCGATACCGCCTTATCCGCATGGGATCATCAGCCATTCGTGACCGTGCGATGTTGACAAGATGTTGCTCACGGTTGTTTGCCTAAGACACTTGAGTTTGGCATTATGACAAGTGTCCTCTCCTCACTCGTCACTGGTTGTGTTGAGACAAGGCATCAACAAGAAATTCTGGTGTACTTTTACCGTTACCGTTGCTTGTTGCACATCATTAGTCAGCTGGATCTGTTTTCGCACCATATTTACACTTGACATATCACCATTCTTCATTGATTTCCCATCTAGGAAATCGCCCGAAGCCACTTATAGCTGCTTCGGAAGTTGGCGTGTGTTTTTCGATAATTAGTAGGCTGCACACCATTTTGCACCTTTCAACACTGTCCCGTTCGAGCAATCACAAACTGAACACGTTACTTCACAGTGTTACCAGTTCAGATCTCGTTGCTGTTACAGCGGATATGAATGCGCATGTAGGCCGTCTGGGCTCTTCAGAAGTTCAGGTAGGTGATAAGTGTATCATTAACCTCGATCAGGCAGGCAATTGCTGGCGTCTGTTCCAACTGTGTACGTAGCACCTGCTAATTTTTAACACCACCTCTTTTAGTCACACTGAGCGCCGAAGTACCACTTGACCCCCATTACTGACCTGCGATGAACCAGGCAGATCACGTTTCCATAACTTACAAGTGACACGGTTCCATACTGTAGTGTCGCTTTTACTCGGGTACCTCCGTCGACTATGATCATGTCTTGTTATGCTGTCGTTTTTCAATGAACAATACTAAGAAGCGTACCAAGCGCCTCCCTTGATTGGCGACCGAGAACTTATCTCAATCCTTGGTCAAAACGTCGAGATAGGATATCAGCTGCAGTGTCGCCCTTAAATGGTAAATGTATGAACAGCTCTTTTTTGGGAGCAATGCTTCTAGGTGTCTTTCGCTTGCGTTCTTTCATATGCTTCATGATAAACTTATCGGGGTAACCATTCTCACGAAGGGCGTCGCCGAGGCTATTTACATCCATCATCTGAAGCCGGAATTATGCGTACACAAACGATTCATACGGCCGATACTGCTACCTTGGCCGACTGACATGGTTACTTAACTACCCTTTGTGACCTTAGCTATTTACTCTAGGCCCTGAAGCTTGTATTAATTTCCTTTGATGCACTTTTCCCACCATCTGTAGCCACCTTTAGTCATCGATCTTGACCTTTCAAACACCTTAGAAATCAATCCCAGCCCGATTTGACGCTTACCCCACATAATCCGTGTCATGTAAAAGTTTGGGTCTGACGAGATTTTACCGAAAAGATATCTTATCCCTGAACTGTTTTCTGGCCTTGATTCATTTGATTACAATGGGAATATTTGCTGTGTTGAAAAGCAGCATTGCCCGTAAGACAGTTGAGTTTGGCATTATGACAAGTCCTCTCCTCACTCGTCACTGGTTATGTTGAGACAAGGCATCAACAAAAAATTCTGGTGTACTTTTACCGCTACTGTTGCTTGTTACACATCATTAGTCAGCTGGATCTGTTTTCGCACCATATTTACACCATTCTTCATTGACTTCCCAGCTTGGAAATCGCCCGAAGCCACTTATAGCTGCTTCGGAAGTTGGCGTGTGTTTTTCGATAATTAGTAGGCTGCACACCATTTTGCACCTTTCAACACTGTCCCGTTCGAGCGACCACAAACTGAACACGTTACTTCACAGTGTTACCAGTTCAGATCTCGTTGCTGTTGCAGCGGATATGAATGAGCATGTAGGCCGTCTGGGCTCTTCAGAAGTTCAGGTAGTTGATAAGTGTATCATTAACGTCGATCAGGCAGGCAATTGCTGGCGTCTGTTCCAACTGTGTACGTAGCACCTGCTAATTTTTAACACCACCTCTTTTAGACACACTGAGCGCCGAAGTACCACTTGACCCCCATTACTGACCTGCGATGAACCAGGCAGATCACGTTTCCATAACTTACAAGTGACACGGTTCCATCCTGTATTGTCGCTTTTACTCAGGTACCTGCGTCGACTATGATCATGTCTTGTTATGCTGTCGTTTTTCAATGAACAATACTAAGAAGCGTACCAAGCGCCTCCCTTGATTGGCGACCGAGAACTTATCTCAATCCTTGGTCAGGCAGCCTACCAAGATAGCCTGCGTACAGAAATTCTGCTCTGTCGTCCCAATGACACTGAGCTCCAGTGCAATAGGATCTCGGCCGCCATCCACGATGCTGGAGCCTCCGCTTGCGTCCTTACCAATCGTCACTGCATCAGTCACTAAATTTCTGAGACGTCCGTGAACCTGTTTGAGTCCAGAAGCAAACTTTCTGTTGACTTTGAGCACCATGTGACCAGACGAAATATTAGGCGCTAAGGCGGAGCCTTCGTGCGGACCAGGAAGTCTGATGGACTTGTAGGGCTCACGAAATGGATGAAGCAGGAGCAGTGGGCACTTATCGACCCGCGCCACTGATCCTAGGAAGTTGTATCATTGAGACCATCTGAGACGGTGCGCGTGCCCTGATTCACAATAAGGAGTGTCGTATGGCTCCTTTGGCGGAGCACTTTCGAGAGCAGTTCCGTTAGGCCCCTGTTCTCGGACCCCTTCCTATTCAGTTGTTGCAAGCTTAGTCATGGCTGATTGGTTTAGAGGTTTCATCGGGAGCTGAGGTCCGAAACGTGATCGCAGACCTTAATTGTTTTCCGGTTCGCATTCCGTTGAATCCGCGCTACTTAAGGATGATAGTGAGGTCCTGTGCAAAGCACTGACCTTGTTCGAACAGGTCTTGAAGGAAGAGGCCGTCCCAGCTAACTGAAGTGAATCATGGTGGCACTATACAAGGAGGGCAGTCGCACCGACTGTGCTAATCACAGGGTATTAGCCTAACACCAGTGGAGATAAAATTACTATCCTCAATTCTCATTCGTCTCACTGCTGGACGGAAATCCCGGCTTAGGGAAGAGCGAGCAAATTTCCGCCCAGGATTGCGCTGTATAGACCACATATTCACACTGCGGCAGGTGCTAGAGCAGCGCCATACGGACCTCAGACCGACAATAGTTGTGTTCACGGACTTCAAGAGTGCTTTTGACTCAGTTGACCTATACATTCTATTCGAAATACGCCGGGAAGGTGTTCCCATGTAATATGTGGACATTTTAAGTGCCTGTACTTGAGCACCACCGGCCGCGTCATGGTCTACGGTGCCTTGTTGGATGTCTTTCCGACAACAAGTGGTGTTCGTCAGCTTTGTTCGATTTCCCCGTTTTTGTTCAACTTCGTCGTGGACTCCATCATGGAGTGATGCATCAATTTTCGTCCTCAACGGTTGACTGGCGATAGTCGGAAATCGGCATATGTCTTCCACGTTCACCTGTTCAGTTCAATGGATCATTTTGATATCTGCACCAATTTGCTGCCAGTCAAGCTGTCTTGACTATGGTCCCATACTAATATGTCGGCCGGTGGCCGAGTGGTCGGCGCGTTTGCTTTCCACCTAGGGGTGGGCGTCCTCGCGGTATACTCAGCCCGCGCGCGACTGGTGGTGGTCGCGCGGCAGCGAAGCGCCGTTACGGCGTATAAGCTGACACATTTCATTTCATTTTCCCATACTAATATTATGGATAATGATATTGGTACTGGAAATAGAGAGTGGAGATTATTGACGAATGCTCTCCTAACTTATCTACCAGGTTATCACTAAGGTCGCTTGTATGTTATTTTTAATGGAGCTGAATTGTTTCTCATGCTTGACCGCACACATGTGAATGTCAAACGTGGCGGTTTTCTCCATATTCTTAACCTGTTAACACGCCACTCTGTCATTAAGTTCTTGCATAATAGCGGATTTCATCTTCGTCTGAAGCATGTCTGGTAAATTAATTTCGATTACTACTGCTATTACTCCCATCCGTTGCAGTTTTCAGTTTGAATCCCCTCTATACGTAAATGTGACATTTGTATTTCCATGTGCTCCTTTGAGGGCGGCCTTATCCACTCCAGCCGAACAACCCCGTGGTGCCAGCTATGTGGTTCGAGTTAATCCTGTTCCAGCCGATGGTTCGGCGGCAGTGTTTCGGGATGTGGTGGTTTTCCGCCTGGCAAGCGTTGTCTCTATAAAAAAAACCCACTAATGTCTGCTTGACAACACTGCGACGCGGCGGATGTGACTCTCCACTAAATAAAGTCACTGCCGTGCACACTTCACGGACGCCAGTAATCCAGTACAAAGTTTCCCTTTCACCCCTTCTCAAGCAGATGGCCCGACAGAACACAATCACAACTACGAGGTCGCGCCTACAAATTCAAGTAACACCGCTGCAAACATTCATACCGACATACAAATACACCACAGATCTAATCTACTACTGCTAACCTTGTAACATTATTGCATATTTGCCAACCATTCGTGCCTATTCAGGCGTGCATCGCCATGTCGAGAATATACTATTTAAACTCTTGTGGCATCCAGACACCGCTAAAATTGATTGTGTCATCGACTAGTGCCCTTGGTTTTCACGTCTAACTCATTTTCATGTACTAATCAATCATGCGCACTCGGCATGGATCAGTATGCAGAGTTTTGCCACACTACAAGCATTTACAATACCCATGAGACTTCATTCTGATTTACAGCCGGACTTTACGTTCTACTCTCCTTTTTACCTAGAATCGGAGCAAAGTGGTTGCTGGTGCATGCGCGTCCGTTTCACCGGCTAAACTTCCCTCATCTGTGGTCTCATCCTCCTTGAACATCATGACATCGAACTGCTCCGGAGCCACAGGGCACATGCAGCGCTGCACAGAGGAAAAAGCAAATGACACAGACCAAAAAGATACTTGTGACAGCCCTCCATCTTTGAGCGTGAACGGGACGGAGAACCGTGATTTTGAAACTGAATCACATACATATGGGGCTGTGGGAGACTCCCTGTCATCAAAAATAAACGGATACTCCAAGCCGTCATTATCTCCACCCGGGTCGGGCCATGTGACAAAGATGCAGCCAAATTCTACAGGTTGGTTTTGTCACTTCTGACCGTTTTCAGGCTTTACCTCACTTTCATTCGCCCGTTGGATGTACTTAACTTTCAGGCACAGCGTACGCAAGGTTGAATGCAACAAAGACCGCCCGCCTGGTTTATCCGGTGGTATGATGGTCTAATGGCCATGCACGCGAACCTGAACCAACCTTCCGAATTAACCAAGCAGATGGTCTGGTTTTGCTCCCAACCTCCTCCTCACCCTTTTCATCTGCACGCGTTCAGACAGTGAAACCTGGCCGGCTTGTTTACGAGAGTGCGACCGAGAGAAAGATACTTGTATTCCACGTTCGACGGACGTGCGCGGAAAGCTGCACAACGCCCACCACCATCATTGGCTCTAATGACTGCTGTCGCTGTCCCCACAACTCGTTCGCTACCTCTTGCCCTACCCCACCCTCACCGCCTTGCTGCGCATACACGTGTGTGTGTGGCACCGGTGCACCATGTCATATCCACTCCCCACCCCTGTCGGCTTAACGACTGCTGCTCCTACTAAACCAATTTCGGTCCAACAAACTGGTGGCTGGTCACCCCATCCCACCTTGCTACTGGGGTTGGTGGTGACGCGGAACCCACTGTTAGAATTGCCTACCTTGTATACCCCATCGACACTGTCCTGCTGTGACTGCCATCCTTTCCATTGATCGATCAGACCCGTCCGTCTTGCCACTGCATTCCAAGTTGCATAGAATCTTTTCATGTGGTGGTCGTTGTTACAGCATGCTTTCCCACGGCACCATTTTACGCTTGGCGTTATCCCCCTTTGTTCGTGAGTCAATTCAGCTTACTCGGCACCTGCCTTATCTTCTCAGTCCCCCCCCCCCCAATAAGTGGGGTTGTGTGTGTGCCTTGCTCACGCATTCTCGTGCGATTTCCGGGGAGAGAGATTAATTTGTCACTTCTATCGCTGGGTCAGCGGCTTTTGTGATGTTCGCCTTTTGTGTATGCGCGTATCGGCTAGAGAGCCTCCGTTGGATTACTCTTACACACCTCATCACAGCTGCACTGCCCATCGATGATGATCCTCCTCGGGCTAGGCGGTTTTGCTTATTCGCCCTGTCGGTGCATTTTTCATTGGGTAGACCCACCCAACCTTGAACGTTTGTGACAACATTTCACAGTCGACCGACAGCAAGCGAAGTGTTGGTCTCCCTCCTCTTTGTCTGATTCCTCCGCACGCTTACCCACTGCGCCTCTCGCCTGTGTTGCATTAGTGTCTCACCTCACCCCCACCATTCCTCCCCGGGCGAGTCGTGATGCTGGCTCGACCAAACAACAGCTGGTTGTCATCATCGGCCCACACTATGCACCACACCTTCAGTGAATGGTGGCGATCGATTTTCGCTCCACGGCGCATGTACACTTTTTCAAGGATGCCATCCAATTTTGGGAGCTGAGTACCCGTGCGCCCCGCTTCCCCCCTAGTACTGCTTGGTGGGCACTTCTTTTCACCCAGTCCAGTTTGCTATCAATTCGTGACTAATACTTCCTTGTCTCGATATCGTTCCGAATCACCACAGCCTCTGTATTTTGCACCGCATGACATCCCCAGATATGATCAGGCAGGCTGTTCGCCTTAATCCATTCAATTTTCCAGTGCATCTTTACGACAGATGTTCTCGCACTACACTTGCCTCCATTAATATACACGCGTAACTTCTCTGACCCTTTAAACTATTTACTCATTTTTGATAAGTAATGGGAACTGTGACGAATTGCATCTAATATTTTAAAAATTTCTGCGGAAAATTTTTCTAATGTGGCACAACCTGGTTCATAGTACAGAAAAATTCATATACTCTCGAGTACCCACCTTATACACGCGCAGGGCCGTCGTCTAGTCTCGACCAGAGTATGTGTTTGCGAAAGGACGATACGGTGATTCATCCATTGTTTGAGTGCGTATCTTTCTTATAACAATTCTCTTTTGCTAGTCACCCGGTCGAGGTGTGATTCGGTCTGCAACGCGAAAATTCAAACAAATAATTGCATGAGAATAGAATAAGTACTCATGAGCGTTTAATGTCCCATTTCTTGCTATGAACATTACATTTTATTATCCTACAGAATTTCTACCTTTTAAATGGTTCAGTATGCATTTCAGTAACGGAACTCAATTTGGTGTGTTGCCTGAAATAAATGCGCCGTTGCGATAGGTGAAAATGGTAAAGCTGAAGTTTCTGATGAATGAACGGCTGTCAACGTGAAAGATATGTTTGCATATGGCTGCATATAGCTACTGAAGCATTTCCACCACGAACAGCTTCAAATTACGACCGAAAACAGCAATTTCTCCCTTAAATACGAAACTGCAGAAATCGTACATTAAAACAACAATATGGTGATCTCGATCATTCAAAGATAATCCAGCGCAAATAACTGTTGTTCATATTCTGAATCATTCATATGTGTGTTTACACAGCAGGAATGCTATGAAGCGATCTTTTTATCTCTATTCTGAATGCAGACTGATGGATCACTGCCGTGTTATTCGTTCTTGCGCCTTTTTTTTTACCACCACATGATGCTGTCTGGTATGTCAGTACGTACCTTGTTACTGATAGTCTGAAAGCCATGATGTACTCTAGACGTTTGCGTGTAAGCAGTTAGTTTGGTAGAGGTTCTGCTGAGTTAGATTGTCCCACCACAAACCGAATTACCGCCACTTCAGTCCTCAAGACCCCGGACATCATGACCGCAAGTGAGTTTCAAACGACGTGACACAGTGGCTTGTACGTGCGAGTGGATGACTAACCCAACTGTCTACATAATTCACCACTCATCGTCCGCTTTGATTTAACCACTTCCCTCACACTTTGTACGTATTTTCTCTCATACTGTCCGTAATTAGGACTGCTTATTTGTACTCATCCGCTTTCTCTCCCATGATCTCATCTCCGTGAAACTTGATTTAGTGTTGACTTGGTTTCCTATCATGACATCGCAATGAGGCTGGATCTTACCGTGGTGCGATGGTTTGCGTGCTTCAGAGATCCGTTGAGCTATGCTGGTTGGTGCTTTGTTGCACCTTCAGAGCCACTCATACCAGATTGGTCAATGGTTAGACGCCAGACGAACTCAGCCACCTGGTCCTCCAGGTTGGGGGTTGGAATGAGGGTGGCTGCTTATTCCTTAAAACGGACTCCTTGTAACCCAACCCCAAACCCGCCTTGCGAATTGAGTAAGCGCTCAGTGGCCTCCCGTTCACCAGACTTTACTAGCAGCAGGACAATCCTCAAGTCTAATCACCAACATGGACATTGCGTCTCTTCGCAGTCTCTGGAACTTATCGATGCTTGCCGGCACATTCCGGCCGGAAGCGAACACAATGAGACTCGCAGAAAACTCCGGACAATACTTTGTGCTACCCTAGAAGAGAGACCGCGAATCCTGGTGGTCTTATCGTGCTTCAGAGATGGAAATGGCCGCTGTTTTTGGTAACCATCGTAAGTTATTCCGTCTGATTTGGGAAACGGGCAGCAGGAGACCTGGTGTTAGTGAAACTATACATGACGAGAGTGGACAGCCTATCCACAAAACGCTTGGAGCGTTGTGATGAACACTTTCAAAGGCAATTTAATCGGTCGGAATTGCAAGCTTTCTAGCTGGCCACTGATCGCCCTGCTCCGTGGGCTCTCCCTTTGGATCTGCCCTCTCGCTCAGAAGTCGAACCTGAGATGGGACTGTTGAAGCGAAATAAAGCCGCGCGACCAGATTATCTTCCTCCAGCTTTCTTCACATTCCGGGGACATGCTCTTGTGGATGATTTACACGAGTTACTAGTGAGACTGGGAGCAGGAAACTGTCCCAACCCACTGTAGCCGTTGCGTCATAGTCCCGATTTTCAAGGGATACTCAAGATCAGAATGCGGCAACCATAGAAGAATCAGTCTGATATCCATCGCCTCCAAATTGCTTGCCTTTGTCATCCTTCACAGACTGACTGACACTCGTGATAGCCATATTCGTGAAGTGCAACCCGGGTTTCCTCTAGGTCATGTATACATTGACCACATCTTCACTTTGCGTTAGTTGTTGCAGTCACAAATATTGCCGGCCCACCGTTGTCATGTTCCTCGATATCAAAGGTGCATTCGACTCGGTGGATAGACGTGCACTTTGGGACTGTTTACTCAGTAAAGGTGTACCAGCGAGATAGGCAAATATTATCCGAGCATTATACGCGCGTATCTCAGACAGAGGGCTTACGGCCAGCTGTCGTCGCCCTTTAACATCTCCAGTGGTGTGAGACAAGGATGCCCGCTGTCACCTTTCCTCTTCAATTTCGCTATTGACGAAGTCATGGAAATCGCGTTCACAGGACACGACTTAGAAGGTGTGGATCTGCTCCCAGGAGAACGACTTCTTGACGGAGTATGCTGACGGTATTGCCCTAATCTGTAACAGCTCACAAACGTGCCAAACAGCACTGGACAGATTAGCACTGGCTCTCTGTCACTTCCGGTTTTACTTCTCACCATCGAACTGCAAAGCGTCCCTCCAAGATTGGCCTGGACCGTTCAAAATTCAACTACCTGGGAGGTTGTATCAGCGCCCGTGGGATGGAAGACGAGATCACAAAGCATGTAGCAAAAGCTCAAGAGGCTTTTGCTAACCTTCGCTACTTATGGTGCCGGCGCGACATCACTCGCCCTGAAGGGTAGAGTGTACAATGCAGCGGTACGTCCGACCCTACTGTACGGTTGTGAAACCTGGCCCCTTAGATCAGCAGACATAAAGAGGCTAGTTACGTTTGACCATCGGTGCCTTCGCAATTTGGCTCACATCTGGTGGGAACACCGAGTAAGCAACGAGCGTGTTCGACGCCTTGTTTACGGCACAGGAAAAGCAACTGAACCGCTCAGCACCGTTATTTCACGCACCATTCTACGATGGCTCGGTCGCGCGTTACGCATGCCAGCCCACTGACTCCCGCGACGTGCGTTGTTTGCGCACCGGGGGTGTGAATGAATGAAGAGATGGGGTGACCAAGCGGTGACTTGGTCAAAAGTAATGAAGTCCCTTACTTAGAAGCTGACCTCAGTTGGAGCGTCTCGACTCACTGGTTGGGGTCCGAAAGACGATGAACACGTTTGGTTGGACACACTTTGTGATATGGCTAGGAGCCGACCTCAGTGGCGTTCATACTGTGAGTTTCTTTATCCCACCCCGTCCTTTTTAGTCTCCCCCTCCAACCACGATGTCACTACTTAGCCTTATATAATTTTGTATAATAAATTTTTTTGCTGCATGGTAGCCGGCTGGTAGCTTATCGGAACGATGCCCATCCGTCACCGGTAGCTCAACTGACTTACACCAGTTGCATTTTATTCCCTTTTTCTTTTGTTTTGCGGCACAATAGCTGAGGTGTTTCCTACCACTAGCTAACGTGTATAATGATTTATTTAGAAGCCTCAAAAATCATCTGGATTACCCGCTGTTTTTCAACTTACAAATTTGAAAGAAATCGAAATACGATTGCTCGTTTTAGGGGCTAAGCGTTGTTGTTTGTGGCCACCCCCAATATCTTCGCTAGGCAGCTTTTTAGTGGCCGTGGTTATCCTTTCTTTGGTAGGTTCGGTTCCCCACCCTTGTCGAACCGATGGCACTTGAGGCTGCCACTTTGCTTCCCATCTAAAAGTTTCTAAGATTAAGGTCTTCCCGTACATGTTATGATCATCTCTAAGCTGGTAGTTTAAGGTTCAGTCCCTAAGTCTTAAGGTATGTCGCCCATACTCATTACTGCCATAATTACTAACGGGGTTTATTGACGGAATCGTTTTGAATCACTCGTTTGCAATGGATTGCGACGCACAACTCGAATCAGGGTCGTGATTCACCTTGAAGCGAATTTCAGTCACTACGATCACTTTGAGCATATCCACAGCCAACACTAGAGTGCAGTGTGGCTAGGTTGCTTTCTACACACTGACAGTCACCTCGGCTGGTGACGAAACGTCTGCGAGAAAGTCGCCCAGCTCAGAACTAACCAATACCTGACTATCCATCTCGAGCTGTAGGCGTTCCGATTTATAACAAACGCCTGGTCTTCACCAGCGGAATTACTTCGACCTCTCTTCGACACTCTCAATCATATATATATATATATATATATATATATATATATATATATAGTTTGTCGTGATGTTTTACCTTGTTGCATTAACGCGTGTCAAGATAAACTAAAGAACAAGCGTTTAAAACAGTTTCCAAGGCGGAATCTCGAATTTACTTTGTACAGCATGGTCAAGATTATGTGCAGTCCGCACCACGATTAATCATTCGGGTTCACGATGAAAGTTTGTTTGTTTTGAGTCAACGAAATACATTTTTTCGATCGATTAAACTCCGTTCCATTATTTGTTCCTCTTTTTTTGGCTTTTATTTAAGCCATCACTCCCTCATTGTATTGTGAAACGAGCAGGGGTGGATTAAGAGCATAGCAAATGTAACATTTGCTTCCACGTTATCAAAATATTAGAAAGTGAAACCATGAATCAACAGATAAGATTAAGGGTACTGATCAACTGTGATAAAAATGTCCGGTTGTGTGCAAAATTGTGTGAAACTCGTGCTCACAATGCATCCGCCAGCTCTCCCTTCTTATTACACTTGCATTGCATCTTCATTTAATATTTTTCTCTGGTCTCAGACTTCTCCATTTCAAGTCCCCGGCCAGATTCTGCAAACCCCAAGTTCATCAACCTCCCGGGTGTTAGTGCAGTGTCCTTGTCACCACCGTACTTAACCTCCGATAACGGAACGTTGGCGACTGACCTCTACAACTTGACACCAACTAACTTACCGAATTCCTCGGACAAAGCAGCAATTGGGTCTAGTTTTCCTACCTCTTGTGGAACTACTGGTAGTCTTCCTCTCCACACAACTCCTGTAAACCTGTTCGACGCAGATGCATGCGGCGTTAGAGAGTCCGAACCGCACACATATCCTCGATCAATGCCCCCATTGTCGTCACTTTCCCCGACATCAACCATTTCTGCAGTAACAACAATGGTTGGTGGTGCCTCGGCATCTTCCATTACATCTTTGACCTCGCCGGTGCAGTCCAACCTAACTTCATTGCCCGCTCCTCCCACAGTAAGCCTAATTTCTATCCACCTAGTCACATTTTTTGCACTAACAGAATTTCAGTTGCTCATCGATTCACAACTAATGCTGCTTACTCTAGTCTCCATTACCACACTGCTTTCAAAATGCGACTGGTATCGAATTCCTCATATCAAAAGCAGTTTCTTACAAATATGCCATGCTGTATCTGGTTTCCGTCATCGATCCCTAATTCGCATCAACTGTGCATAACTTTGACTTATATGGGTATCATCATGTCTTTTCCTGATGAAGCCCTTGGTCCCCATACTAACGTATTCTGCGCAAAACACGGGCTGTAATCACGATACACACAAACGGGTGTGCACAAGGTTTCTCCAGACACCACCTCACCGATTCCAACTATTTGCTGGTTGAATTTCCGGGACCAATGCATCTAGGCGCGCGTTGCAGTGGACTCACGTATTCGCATTGTTACCGTCTCCCTCCCCCTTTTCGACTAAGTCATCAGTTTTGCCTATCTATTCTGTCCTGTGTATTTCTTTTTCATTGTATGTTGTCGTTTACTTTTTCTTAGCTCCGTTTTTCTCTTCTGCTACCTTAAGGCCTATACTCCTTGTTTCACTCTTCATTCGTGTCTGGGTGTCCAATGACACATCCCGTCAGAACACCGACAATAGCCAGGTTTAGTTTCCTCCTCTTGTCTATACTGCAGTATTCTGATGCATCTGGACGGTCGCATTTATACTGCGCTTGTATCTATTGTTATTCACACCATTATTCGCGTCTTTTTGATACTCCTCTCTCACCTTCCTCCTTTCGCTCAGATGGTATTCGAGTCACCGTACTGCAACTCCCTTCAAAGTATGCCATCTTCGGGAAGAGTGTAAGTTTACGAGGAATTTTCTGTCATCCTCCGCCTCTGCGTCGTAGGACCACCTCCTCCCCTGTACTAGCAGAAACATGGAGAGAACATTTCGATTATACGTGCCACGAATTGGTCTTCTTACAACTTCTTAAAATACATGTGTTCAGCCAACCATAGCGGAATTTCTTCTCTGGAATTCGGCTCATGCCGAGCTTTCCTTTGGTCCATCACCTACTTTGCCGTTGTTTCTATCGCTGTTCTTCATCCATCGAGCTGACACGCCGCCACGGTTAGCGGTCGTTTGGGTGATTAATTCCCGCAACTGTGGTGCGAATCCGCTGTGTACACCTGTTCTTCGCTCACGAGCCACCTGTTTTACTTGCGGCATTATTACCCATCTCGACAGCACACTTGAGATAACATGCATGTGGTTGCTCGATCGATTATGCTCGTTGAACCTCTTTTTTTCCTGAAGTTGAAGTAGCAGATGACTTTTTCCCACTGCGCACGAACACATATATGCAGTATTGGGAAGAGCAACACCCAAATATTTCTATATGCAGATACGTTCTATGGCACAAACAACCTATGTGGTCTGTCCGTTTTCCTAATTCACCACCACAGACTGATCGTCCCCCATCTTGCACATGCTAACCATCATTTCGGATGTCATCGACATGGCGGTCTCGATGATTCGGCTGATGCTCGTTCTACCAGCGAAACTGGTCAACTGGTTCGCTGGTGTGTTCGAGTTGATACCTTTGATCGATTCCGGTCCCACCCATCGGCTGTGCACACCACGGGTGGCATGCGCGAGCACATCAGCTGCATTCGCTAATTTGGTATCTTTTCCCTGTCCCTCGACGCTCTAAGCCCACTGGACTTCCATCTAGCTAGGTTGCCGCCTCCCTGCAGCGCGCAATTGCGATCGCATCCCACCCATTATACTGGGTGGTCGCGCCAGATTGCACACCTTCGCTTAGAATTCGCTACCTCTTGTGCATACTGGCTACTTCAAGTAGCTGCAGTTCGGCAAGCATGTGCGCGTGTGTGGAGGCACGCACACACCCAGTTGCAATGTCAGTGTAGCAGTGGAATCCACTTGAGGATGTTTTTGAAGCCTCACGTCAGTCACGTGATGAAACGGGCAGTTCACTTGACATCCTCCCCTACACTTCAGTGCAACATTTCATTCATCCCATTTTCAAATGTACTGCTCGTTTTCGCTCTTGCTGGCTTCTCCATATAATCTTGCTTCTACCCTTCTAGGCCCTATTCCTTTCTTCTCCTGGATAACCAACCTCCTACTCCGGTCCCCTTCACACCAGACGCATTTTTCGGTCCCGGCATTCCGCATCAGGCGAAACCAGTACATTGTTTGGATCATGGTGAAGTTGTCTGTGCTGTCACGATTAATAACGCCACTCGTCAAGTTTATACCGGGGGTAAGGGTGGTGTCAAAGTCTGGGATCTGAACGCAGCGACTTCTTTCTCTTCCTCCTCTACCGGAACTAGCCCTGGTTCCGTTTCGTCACAACAACCTGGTATTACCAAGTTGCCCATGTTCACTCTCGATTGCTTACAGCGTGACAAATACGTGCGATCGATCAAACTGACCAATGTAGGTCTGCCGATCGGTGCCGATCAACATGTTTTACACTAACGCTTGCTTCTGGTTACGTGAAACATTTTCCCCATTTTAGGATGGTCGGACCTTACTGGTTGGTGGAGAATCAAGCATACTCAGCATTTGGGATCTGGGTTCATCGAGTCCACGTCGTAAATTTGAACTCAATTTCGCTGCTCCTGCTTGTTACGCGTTAGCTGTGTCACCGGATGGAAAGCTTTGCTTCAGGTAGGTGATTGCGCTGCGGCACCCATTCTCCAGTTGCATCCTTTTGTGCGTATATTCTCATTGTTTAAGCTCCATACTCAGAGCCAATTTCGTTCCCCTCCATTTTGGTGCTTCTAATGGATATTGCATTTTTTGCTGCATAGTACTGGCCAATCGGCTCCTGCATCCTACGAAGCTGTGCGGCTTGAGGCTTCGGAGTGCTGCGAATGAGCTTCACGAATGTTCACCACTGTGTGCCACTTACTGTTTCAAATGTTAACACATTTCCCACGGTTGAGTGACGCAATTATGCAAATGGCAGCGAGCGTATGTGACGTGTAGGTGGATCAAAAGTGACTCTGTTTTCTCGTTTGCTTACGCATGGAACCGCACGACGGAGCTATCGGTTACCTGATTTAATACAACATTCCGTATCCAGTGTACTCCAGGAAGATTACGACAATGGAACGCCGCGTGGTAATCACTCTCTTAAGGTTTGTAACTCATGCATTAAGGAATCCATTCACCGGTATCACAGGGTGATGGGAAATTCCGGAAGCCGACGATTAAACTGGATGCTGTTGGTCTCACCATCCAAACTGCGGTTCATTTTAACCACTCTCTACTTGGCTCGAAAATTTGCGGATCATGGCTCGCTGTCGGCACACATAACGAACTTGCTGTCGTCTGCTAGACGGAACTGTATTCCATACTGAGTTGTCTGTCTGTTAGTACCGATTGAGATTCAAAGCAGTGAAATTAACAAGTCAGCTCTCTTCAATACTGGCTTAGATCCGTGTGATAACCAGTCGTTTGTGACCGTGTGCTGCCAAGGTGCAGATGCATTGACCCCAAATGTTTGTTTACGACATTAGGTCTTACACCCGGTCCTTTTCCCTTCTAACGGCCACTCTAGTTCAAATCACTAATTCATTGCCAAAACTACCCTTGCATTCATTAATCTGAGAGATTTGTGGTGTCCTCGCGACATCTGTCTCAATTTCAAAGACGGTATGCATTGCTACCGCCCGTGCGGTCCTGCTGTACGGCAGCGAGTCCTGGTCTGATCACACGGAAGATTTGAGACAGCTGTCAGCTTTCGACAATTGCATTCCAGCTCTATATAAGCAATAACTCGTGGTTATACCCTGAGCACTCAGTGCGAAAAGTCCTTGCTTCCAGGGCCTTATTCTCCAACACTGTTTTCGTTGGGTCTGCCAAGTACTGCGGATGCTAACCCATCGCTTTGCTCGTTTCGCATTACTTACACTTTCTGGACGTGATTAGGAAAAGTGCCGCAGCGAACGATCGATGATATGAAAAAGGAACATGAAGACCCCTACCTAATGTAAAAATTCCGTTGGATGTGTCTCTCTCCTATGTAGGTGGTCACGTGCGACGCATTCCCAACGATGAGAACTCTGGGACATTGTGACACGCTATAGAAAAGAAAAGTTTTCATTGCTGCTCTGCCATCTGTTTTTTATGTTATCTCCCATAATAAACCAGAAACTAAAACGGCGTACGCGAAATATCACAATTCCTGTCCCCCTCTTTGAAAGCGCTCCCTTTTCTCTCTTGAACAAAATTCCCACACACCCCATATCCAGTGTACACCCGAAAGAATAAGACCGGAAGGGTTGAGAGCCACCTTTCATGAAGGGAGCCCGTCCACACTTTCACAGGTAAACACATGCACGCTGTGTTTGGGGAATCAATCGCACACAAGGCGGTGTCTGGACTGTAGTTCACTCCACACCGGATAGAACCACTCTTCGAGCTTAGCATCACCACGAGAACCGTGCACACCGTCCCCTCCAGCAACGACCAACTGTCTCTTGGCGTCACTATAGACGAGATAATGGGTACTAAACAGTGAGGCACCTTGTCAACATGCACGTCAAGCATAGCTACACCTGGGATGTCAAGTAACAGCCAATCACTTGAAAAAACAATATCAAATAAAATGTATCGAATAAAGCATACGGATATGCTTACATGACTCTTCGCTAAATGAGCATATGAAATAAATTGGTTATCAACAAACCTCGATGTTCGCCAAGTCAGAAAAAGATATCAAAAATGCCACAGACGCGAAAAGGTTAACGAAGTTAACCACCTTTCGTTTAAGAGACGTGTGCAAGTACATGGAGGCTTATTCAGGTAGACATTATAATGAGGTAACAGAAGAAGCATTAAGATAGCAAACCAATCACCAGAAATAAAGCAACTCAGCACGCAAGCACCCGGAGAGTAAGTCGAATGGAAACGCATGCAGCATACCTACCAACACTGCACCGTTTCTGCTTACGTTCTCAACAGCATTCCTCGTCGTTTAGATGTTGGTCCCGAGTGGCCTCGCTCGTCGCTCACTAGACCTGCCTGACTCAGGTACTCACGACCGCATTTGCTACAGCACCATGCGTTCCATGTCGATGGAGTACACTTCATTGGCTCCTGCCGCTTCTTCTCTGCTTGCACGATGACTTTCTCCTGCACCTTAGCAACTACCTTCGTGATCAGAACGCGCCATGCACGCCGATCAACCGCGTTCGATTCCCAACACCTGAAATCAATATCAAAACGGGATACGCCCACCTTGATCATGTCCTGCTAACGAAGCTTCGGTTTTCCCACATGCCGCTTCCTCACACTCAGCTGACCATATAACAGGTGCTTCGGTATCCGCGTCGAATCCATACGGCACCCATGACCGAGCTCAGGTTTCTCAGCAAAACTATGCAGTCCATTGCATACATCCCACTTCGGCGCAACATCTCCGTGTCCGCAACTCTGTCGCCCCAATGGATGCGCAGAATCCGTCGCAAACACTGTTGATGGAACCGCTCGAGATATCGCATATCCCGCCGGTACATCGTCTATGTTTCACTGCCGTATAGAAGAACGGACAGCACCATGAATTTGTACACCACCAGTTTCGTGCCAATGGTAAGCTGATGGTTGTTCCACACTCGGTACTCAAGCTTCCCGAATGCCGCCGCTGCCTTCGACACGCGGATACGCAGCTCACTGTGTAGCTGCTGATCAGTCGACATCACACTCCCAAGGTAGCTGAAGCGGTAGGTGGTTTCCAATACTTCAGCACCAATGCTGATTTGCGGCAATATTGAATATTGCACCTCCGGTGAAGGCTGAAAGAGATAGGCAGTCTTACTTGTGATGATGGTGAATCCGAATTTGGCCGCTGTCGAAGCCAGAGCACTAGTCATGTGCTGCAACTCATCCGCGCTGTGTGAAAACAACGCACAGTCGTCAGCAAACTGCAACATACGGATAGTTGTCTCACAGACTAGAGTTCTCGCACCGAAACGACGGATGTTCAGCAACCCACCATCAATACGGTGCTCCACAAAAACACTGTAAGCACAAGCCGCATCAAAAGCACAAGACAACATTGCATGAAGATATATATATTAAACAGGGCAGAAGCTAAGACAGTCTTGCTTCACACCAGTGACAACTGCAAAATCATCCGTGGTTTCTCCACTAAGCTGCAACCTTGCCCAGATACCACTGTGCAAACATAAAATTAAACTTACAAAATTACGCGGGCAACCAAATTGACCCAACACCAGCCACAATGCCTCGCGGTTAACCGTATCAAATGCCTTGGTGAAATGAACAAAAAGCGAGTACAACGGCTGTTATCGTTCTCTATATTTCTCCTGCAACTGACGAGCCGCAAACACCATATCTATAGTGCTGCGACCCGAACGGAATCCACACTGCTCTTCCACCACGTTAGGTTCCACAACCTGAATGACGAGGCGGTTGAGCAGGATTCGGGCAATCTCCCTGCCCACACAACTCAGCAGGTTGATGCCACGATCATTTGTGCAACATTGCTTGCTCCCTTTGCCCTTGTACAGTGATAGCACAAGGTCATCCTTCAGCTCAGGAGGCACCTCCTCCTCAATGCATACGCGTTGCACCAAGTGGTGCAGCGCAGTCATCAACGCGGTTCCCCGTGTTTCAATACTTCAAGAGGGATCCTGTCGGCCCCAGCACACTTGCCGTTTCGCAGTTGAGCAAGTGCCCTCTGCGTCTCATCCAATGTCGGCGTGTCAGTCAGACTCGCCTTCACATCGTCCTGCTTAAGGCCGTTCAATCTAGGCCAGTCGATCTCTGAGCCAGTGTTTCTGCCAGATCTGCATTATGTCTGCAGTCTGTGTGCAGGTAGCGCCTGAACTACCATCGATCAGCGTCCTTAGCGGCACCAATCTCGGTCCATACACCGCCTTCAAGGCGTCAAAGAATTTCTTGTGTTGGCGGCGTTCGGCGTAGCATTCTATCTGCTTCGCCTTCTCCGTCCACCATGCATATTTTATGCGACGGAGCTCTCGAGTCAGTCGCCGTCGAAGTTTGCGAAACTGACTATTCTTCCCCAAGTCACTGGGGCCTGCAACATGTGCAGCAAATGCTGCATTCTTCTCCGACACCAATGCGCCGATCGTCGTATTGTTGTCATCAAACCAATCAGGCCGCTTACAGTTTGCGCGCCCGATGGTCTCCTCGGCAGCAGCTGTCACCTGGTCGCGAATGTGGTGCCACAGGTCGCCCACTGTGGTTATGCATGCCTCACCACACTGGCTTGCAACCATCGCCTTCTCTAGTTCAATATGTTTCTCTACAGTACCGAGGGAGAGAATGTTAACTTTACGCCTCCGGTTCACGGCAGGCACACACTACGTACTTTTCCACACTTTCAAATACAATTTGGTCCGCACCAACTTATGATCAGTACCACACTCAGCTCCACGCAGTACACGTGTCATGCGCACTTCACACATATCACGCTGACGTACGATGACATAGTCGAGCAGGTGAGCGTGACTACTCCGTGGGTGCGTCCAAGTTGTGATATCACTCGCACTCAATGCACACCGAGTGTTCGTGATCGTCAGGCCCGTGAGTGGCTCACAATGAGAGCAGCCTATCACTGTTCGCATTCGCTGAACCAATGCCATGCGGAGCGATGACATCTCTCCACACCGATGCATCACGCCCAACGCGCGCGTTGAAATTACCCAGCAGAAATAGTCGGTCGCTCCTCGGCAAAGACCGTATGACGGAGGATAACTGAGTGTAGAATTGATCACCCGTGTCATCAGAATAACACATGCTTATAAAAGTGGCAAACTTACCTCTTCCGGGTCATATGCGAACAGTCATCAGTCGCACGCTGAAGCCAGTGGGTTCACTCACCATCTGGCCATTGAGGCGATCGGATAGTGGGAATCCGACTTTATGTTCACTCGCTGCTGAGGTGGCGTTTCCAATTCAGTAGAACAAGTGATGAACTTCCGTCTCTGAAAACAGCCAGAGGTCTGGGTCCCGGGGCTTTGTAGCCCTTCAAGAGCCGAAGCTCGTATGCACTCATGGGCTCAGATGGTGATGGTGATGAAGCGTCTGCTCACTAGGTAGCACTCTGGATTCATGACTGAGCACTCGTCGGTGCTGCTGACCAGTTAAACTGCTGTTCAAAATCTTCCATCTAACGCACAGTTAGACGTTTTTGACAGTGGTTTGGCTCATCATTGGTTTTGCACAAGAGTTCGCTTACGGTCGTCCTTTTGCTGCCAGTGGATCGGATCAGGAGGAAAAGCATTCGGAAATTGCCCAAGGTGGCTGCCTTCTTCATCTCTTTGATCCCCTGCGTCCACCAAATCTCGCGGTCCTCTCGGAGTAGCTGTTTGAGTTCGCTGTTAGTAGTCTTGCGTAGTGGGTGGCACCCGACGCCAGCAGGAATTGCTCGATATGCTGGAGAGATTGTGCAGTGGTCCAATGGTTGACAGAACTTTTGGTGAAACTCCAGACCAGGGTCGCGGAGTATTGCATGGCGCTGCGGATGTGTGCCCAGTGGGTAAGGTGCTCTTGAGGTTTGATGTCAGCGCGTCCTGAACGGCGTTGATGGCGCTTGGGACAGAAGCCTAGCCACGTCAACCATTTCCGGCGACGCAGTTGGGAGCGACCTTGGCACACACGAGCGGGTGATCCGAACTAAGGTAGGTTAATAGAGAGGTAAGCGGAGCCAATATCCAGATGCGAGGTCGCGCACAAGCGTACCGCGGAGCACATGAGCTGTCTGCTGCATGCGAAGATCATCAGCACGAGCGTGGAACGACCTTCGACTGTTTTGCCAAATTTGGGAATTGGGTGCAAACTGATTGGCCAGCAACTACAAGCCCGAGTCAACGGAGGCGAACCATTCTGCCAAATATGGAAAATCCGTGGGACGGAATTAACTCACATTGGCTGAGAGCCAAACGCTTCCAAAATTAGTATGTTTCGTTCACCAATAACTAGAACTGACCTGTCGTGTAGAGTAGACTCCCTGTTTACAGAGCCTTGGCTTTCTGTATCCCGTCGGTTGGTTGGGCGCGTGACTGAGCAATCCGGCGGTCGTAGTCCCGCAGGCGCAGATTAGCAGCAGTGCAGCAGTACGAAGGCAGCTTTACAACATAGGTATTCCAAATTGATTGGCAATCCTGTATGCAGCTCCGCCAGCGATAACTGATGACAATCTGGTCGATTTGTTTCCACGGCTGTCTAGGTGATGGGGATCTTCAGGTGCCGCGTTGGCGCCAGGTTCGCTGAGAGCTAGTACTCAATAGGAAAAGGCATTGATCTACGCAAAGCTGAAATAGGCGATCACCGTTGCCTCTACTGCGAGTACCACGACTATGTTGACAACCGAGTTCACGCTCGTCAACTTGAAGTCTGCCGATCTGTACGTTTAAGTCTCCGGAAAACACCACGATGTCCTTTTTCGGATAATGTCGGAAGGTTGACAGTAGAACCCGTTTTGAACTGAGCCTCGGCTGCAGTCTGTGGAACGTACGTTACTACCATGAGCAAGCAACGTCTGCTGGCTTCGTGGTTGGACAATCGCAATAAGGTTTCAAGTTGGATCGCGCGTACATGACTGTTGTTAGGGCTCCAGTGTAGTAGCGCGGCTGTAGCCACGTGTGTTGAATGTAATTCCCACGCCTGGAAGTACAGCGCATTCGGGACTTGAGTCTCGAAAAAGCGCAGTGTGAAAATACCAGCGGAACTTGCAAATAGTGAGACCCGTCGTAACGTCGTGCTAAGGTCCTGTAATCGGGTTACAGTGAGGCAGCGGACAGCAGTGGCAGTAGTCTCAAGCGTGCAAGCAAGAGCTGTCTGTGATGCGATGTGCATCAATGTCCGAACGTTAAAGCTTACCAGCTTTAATGGGGAACGGAGCGTTGAAAAAGGATTGCCAATTCTGCTTAGCCGCGCATCGTTGGACCTTAATTCCTGATCTGTATGACGAGAACATTCGCTCAGGGCGACACGGTGTTGTGGACTCGGAAATGAAGGGGGAGTTGAACAAACGTGGAATAAAGTAATTAGACGGTTGTGCGGTAGAGCGCGATATAGCTCCTTCGGCTGCCAGCACGTCGGGTGAGGGTTGCGTCGTTAACAAGCAGGAGCGAAGTCGTTAATACTTTGCTCCATAAATTATGTGAGCATGGAGCTTCCCCGTTGCACAGGCTGAGGAAGAGGCTTAACTTAGGGGATCCCACCCGCAGCCTTGGGTCATAAAGACCTGACGCGGAAGGCAGCGAGGTGATTTATGTAAGTCGTAAACCGTTGGGATCCGAGTATCACGGTGAGGATAACACGCCTTTCGAATGGGAACATACTAATCCGTACATCCAAGTAACTCGAGTAAAGCAACACAGAGGCTAGGAGGAATTTGGGTCAAATGTAACATCTTTTTGCTTCTCAGGGCCGATTAATTTGCGTTTCACCTTAGTGTCTGAATAACCTTTGTGTTCATTTGCCCATTTATCGTGCACTTTCCCTAAACAGTTCGATTGATCAATTCGGGTTTCCCACAGTAGCTCACCTTTCGTTCGGAACGACTAGCTATTTCCAAGCATAGCACTATGTTTATAAGCATTGCCCACATTGCAGTGTTCCGACATTCATTTTCTCTTAAAGTTATGTTGCAGGCCATTATCTGTCGTGCCCTTTTTGCTCCATAGCTGCTGCTCAAACGGCAACATTGGTGTTTGGGACTTCCACAATCGGATTCTGGTCCGCCAGTATCACGGTCATTCCGAGGGCGCTTCTTGTATCGATATCAGACCTGATGGGACCAAATTATGGAGCGGTGGCTTGGATAGGACTGTACGTTGTTGGGATTTAAGAGAACATTGTCAGATCAACCAGTTTGATCTGAGTGCACAAGTCTTTTCCTTGGGATACTGTCCGTCGGGCGACTGGCTGGCGGTTGGTTTGGAAACTGATCAAGTTGAAGTGTTCAGCCCTAACCACCCAGAGCGTTATCAGCTCTCCCTGCATGAGAGCTGTGTGTTATCACTCAAATTCGCACACAGTGGACTGTGGTTCACCTCCACAGGAAAGGATCATTGTCTACACGCCTGGCGGACTCCATATGGAGCGAACTTATTCCAGGTAAGGTGATGATTCACTTGAGAGTCCTTGTCCACGATAAACAGCGCATCATACAATTATAAACCTTTTTTCACTGCTCAGGCGCATCTATGCTGCTCTTCCTGTTTCCTTATTTAACTTTCCTCTAAGGACTACGTGATTATACTGATATATATATATATATATATATGCATTGAACCCTCAAAAAACCATAAGAAACAAAATATAACAAGTGTAAATTTTAGAAACAGATAACAACTATTTTTGGGCTTTTGTTTTAACACGCCATTTTCTTCTTTTGACATTTTGAATGGCATGGGATAAGCACTTCCAGTCTCCGTTCAGTTGTTCCTCGCCATCCGCCTTTACACTCAGTACACGCAGTCGCATGCCATGGTCAGTGCCACTCGAACCACCAACTGAAGTGGAGGTTTGTCTTGCGATGCGTCACATGAAGCGCTTCAAGGCGGCCTTCTCAGATGAACTTTCCTCCAGAGTTGTTCAACTACGGCGGTATAGCAGTCTTCAAGCAGCTAACATCCCTGTTTCTGAAAATCTGACAAGAAGAAAGAGGAGTCAATCATTGTTCCAATCTTCAAGAAAGGTTCTCACACATCGTGCGCCAATTACAGGGTCATTCATCCGATATCTGTAGCCTCCAAACTACTAGCATGCATCATGCTCCGCAGGTTATCCCGCACTCGTGAGTCACACTACCGGAAGGAGCAGGCTGGTTTTCGCCCCCGTCGAGGATGTGTGAATCAAATTTTCACTCTTCGCCAACTCCTGGAGCATCGTCATCTCTACTGCAGACCCACTGTCGTCACTTTCCTAGATCTTCGGGCTGCGTTCGACTCAGTAGATCGGCTTGCTTTATGGAACCGCCTGCTGAGGAATGGAGTCCCGGAAAAGTACGTCGCTATACTTCACGCGCTATACCTCCACACTTCAGACACGCTTTCCCCACTCTTACCTGTCACCAGTGGTGTGCGACAAGGATGCCCAATGTCACTGTTTCTATTCAACTTTACGATCGACGATGTCCCTTTGGGAGCTTTAGAGAGCCTGCAGAACTTCGACATCGAGCTTCTTCCAGGTAATCACGCGACCGACTTAGACTACGCTGATGCTATCGCTTTGCTCAATGACGACCCCATGGGATGCAATCGATCATTGATCGGGTCTATCTTTGACGTGTGCTTTGCACCGTCCAAGCGCAAAGTTCTTTCACAGGACTTGCAGGTACCCCTTCCCCAATCCACCATCAGCGGCATACAGCTCGAACAGGTAGATAGATTTGTCTACCGTCTCTCCCGATGGCACTATCGAAACAGATATATCGTTTCATATCATTAAAGCTCGGTTAGCGTTTGCCCACTTAAGACATTGTGGCGCAGTCGCAACATTTCACTTTTGCTAAAGGATAGAGTTTAAAAAGCGCAACGTTGCTGTACGGATGCGAATCTTGGTCAATCTACGTGAAAGACATACGTAGTCTTTCCATCTTCGACACTAACTGTTTGCGCAGGATTGCCCGCACGTGTTGGCAACACCGAGGGCGCAATGACACCGCGTCTTGGGTAAGGCGGAAGCTCTGCTTTGTGATGTCCTCCGGCTGCGTCAATTGAGATGGTTTGGCCACGTCCTGCTCATGCCTAACGAGCGTTTACCACGCCGCGGGCTGTTTGCGTACGCAGGGTTACTTTGGAAAAGGCCGCGTATAGGTCAATCGTCCACCTGGCGACAATGTATGAAATCGATACTATCTTGCCTGGCTATCGCTGGTCCAGTTCGACTCCCCAGTTGGGGACCAAAAGATAAAGAATGCCAGTGGCTCACAACGCCGGAAGCAATGCCGCAAAACCGGTCGCATTGGAAGCAGTACGCGCAAGTCTGCGTGATTTCACGTTTACTAAAGCACTAACTCTTTAAAACCGCAAAAAATTTACTTGGCGTGTGTGAAACCACAAAAAATGTTCCATTTTTTCATCCCTTATCAAATTCAGTTACATGTTTTGTACCTTTTAGTATTCTGTATTCTAAATTCCATGGTTTTTAATAGCTCGATGTCTATTTTATAGGCTGTTGCCAATATTATATAATATATAGTCTGAGCAATCTCAAAATGTAGAAAGATAAAAAGGAATGGCATCAGCAATACGCCGGGGATCCGCACCGACACATCGCTGTCACGCGATCACCTCCAGTCGATTGCGGGCACACGCAGATTCGAACCGGGGGCATTTGGGTTGCAAGGTAAACGCCTTGTCCCTGTGGCCACCGGTGGACAAGTACCCACTGCCTAGGTATTACTGTTTCCGCATCCATAACCAATGTGTTGTCTTAAATATTACAGGATTCGTTTGGGCTACCGCAAGATACCAATGAGTGCTCAATGTGAGGGGATTGTGGAAATTTTCTAGGTCTTAGTACCTAACACTTCAAGTGAACTGTTTTCTCTGTTCCGTTAAGCTGGCTATGTAGTGACTAAGTCAGAGCCTGTCTTGCACACTCAGCTGAAACAAACATGAAGCAAAGCGAGACACTGCTGGTTTGTGGTTATCACTTGTGTGCTCTTAACACTGCTAAGAAAATTCCGCCGAGCACTTGGTATCCTACACTGCGATGCTGGCGACTCAGATGCAGTTCTAGTTACCAGAGTTTTGGATGTACATGCGGTCGTCTAAGCTCCCTCGGAGTTCGGCGGACTGTGATTATCGGACTCGATTCTGAGCCCATGATCAGGGATAAGCGTTGCTTTCAACTATGTGCCGATCATCAGCCATTTCTTGGCTGCACTATCTTCAGTCATGGTAGAAGTCGGGCTGCATCATCCTCTCTTTCCTACAACCTTACATGCAAACCACTCGCCATATATGAATGTAGTTAGCGAAGCAGGCGGTTGTAAACTACCAGCAGCCTTTATTACTGATTTACAAAGGATGTAGAGCATCCGCAGCAATTAACTTTATCTGAGCGGAATCAGTTTAAGTTTGGAATTGTCAATTTCAAACGCCGTTAAACTAGCATGTGATCGCTCCAAAAGTGATAACCTTTCAGCCGATGCTTGTGATAGTTTAGATCTCGGAGTTCTCTAGAATCTGATATGAGGAAAAAGTACTTTCCTCTTGGTGCATATCAGTTTTCCCGATTTTCAAGAAAGGAGCATGCACTTCACGTGTTAATCACCGAAGGACTTGTCTCATTTCGGTTACTTCTAAGTTATTGACATCCATCCTGCTTTGTAGACCATTCATACGTTATCCAATAATAGATAAACAGATATCCACTGTCAGTTGGGTAGTTTCTAGTCCTAGACAACTTTATGCAATCAGCGATCTCGCTATTTAACGCTTGTTTTCTGGAGCTGTTAGACGCTCACAGAGATATCTTCACAGAATCAAATTACCATGAGCTGCACCGCTCTGCCTACTGGCAGCTCCAGCAAAAGCTCCGCAAGAATCACGACGCTTGGTGGTCTGAATATTCCTTGGAGATGGAGACCACTGTCCTCTCTGGCAACCTTCGCAAGCTTTTCCAGCTCCTTCGATCCACTGGTGTCAGTGAGGTTATTTACGAAGCGGACGAGTATCTGATCACAAATCGGCATACGAGTTTGAATCACTGGGCCGTACACTTTCACTCGCATTTCAGCTGAGCTCCAGCATCCACCTGTGTACGCAGTACACCTTGTGCACACCCTTACTCGTCTCACTGAATCCACCCAGTTAAGCGAACGTCTGCCTCGAGATTTGACGCTTGAAGCGATCGAAGACTGCCTGCTCAGACGGGCTTCCTCCGGAGCTGTTCTGGTAAGGCGTTGTGGCACTCATTAGCCAGCTAATCTCGTTGTTCGCACGAATCTGGCACGGTGGAAACATGCCTTTCCTGCAGAGCTAGTCAGTTATTGTCTCGTTTTACAAGGATCACGCACTTCATGTGTCAATCATCGAGGGATTAGTCTTAAATTCTGTTACCTCCAAGCTATTGGCACTAATTCTGCTTCGTAAACTATCCCCATTACGTGAATCATACTACCGTGAAGAACAAACTGGTTTCCGTCTTGGTACTTCATATGTGGATCACATCTTCACGTTCCGCCAATTGTCCGAACACCACCACATTTACCACAGGCCCATTATCTTCATATTCCTAAACATACGGGCTACATTTGACTCGGTTGATCTACCCGCTTTATGGCTTTGCTTGCTAATGAACAAGTGCCAAGGAAGTATACCGCCATCCTACGCACACTTTACCTTCATATCTCCTGTAGAGTAAGGGTCTACAGCAAGGTTTCCTCGTTCTTCGCTATCAATAGCGTTGTGCATCAAGGCTGTTCTAATTCCTTCTTCCTCCTCAACTTTGCAGTCGAGTACATCCTGTCTAGAGCTCTAGATTTCCAAAATTTTGACTTATATTCTACGGGGTGAACGCACGATCGACTTAGACTATGTTGATGATATCGCCTTACTTGGTGACGATCCGCAGTGACAGTTCGAATATCTAGCTATGGCACGATATTTGCCCTCTCGAAGTCCATAGTGCTGCTCCAGGGTTGGGCCGCATCTGCTCCCGTGCTCAATTTTGTAGGTACACAACTTGAACAAATAGATACTTTCGTCTAACATGAAAACCGTGTTCCTGCTGGCGGCACTATCAGCAAAGAAGTTTTTATCCGCATCGCTAAAGCCCGATCAGCATTTGTCAAGCTGAGGCGTTTGTGGTGTCTTCGAAAAATCTCCATCTGAATACAGGACCGCTCTTCGCTCAGCCTTGTTGTATGCGAATGAGTCTTGGCCAGTTCGCGGTTGTTTGAGTAGACTCCTTCGTGTGTAATGGCAACACCGAGTTCACATTGATGACGTTATACGTACCGTCCTGATGAATGCGAGTATTACCTTCAACAAACTGATTTTGCTGCGCCGGTTGAGATGGCTTGATCACGTCTTTCGCTTAGCTGCTGAGCGTTTGCCGCGCCGCACCCTTTTCGTTCGTCCAGGACTTCGCTGGAGGCGACG